CGTCCCTGATTATGCTACACACTTGAGTAGATAAATGGTCTTCATCCCACATTACAGTACCGGGCAAAAGTATTCGGCTTTTTTGTTTCGGACGATATCTCGCTGTTTAAAGCACCTCGCGGCCCCAGAAATGGTTCCAGGGTAAAAAAAATCAATAACATCAAATGATGCGTCAACTTTTTCTACACGAAATGGTGCGTGTTGCGGATGCCGCCGATTTTCCGTCCGAGCGGCTTTGATGTTATGACAGTAAAAAAGCACCTGCTCGATACGGTGGTCGAATATCACTGCCGCATGACTTCCAATCGTCACGCGTGATCTTGACACCAATTTGAGGAAGTCGTTGTTGGTGCAGGGAAAGTATCTGAGTTTATTTACCAGTTCCGGACGCATTAAAAATGTAAATTGACGTCAAAAAATACCTTGCCGTTTCAACGGGGTGCCGAAGCATAATGCAGGATACAGGATGCAGGGGAGAAATAGGTACCGATGGATTTTTGTGCACGAACTCCCATCCTTCCCTATCACGGGCCGTAAATACCCATGTGTGCACCCAGAGCTGTAGAGAGTAAGATACTGGGTGTCCCAAAAAAAGTCCCCCTCTAGCGGTCCGGTGGAGGACCAGATCGGGATGATTTTTGCACCATTCCAAGCCCTGGAAAAGGCGAGAAAACAAGCAGGCTTCATGTTCTAAGACTTAATCTACTGCCATCGATATGTTGTTTCTAAAAAAGGGGGGTACTTTTTCAAAAAGAATTTCGCAATTATCGTACATATGTTGTGTAAATCTGCGGTTTTGTTAATATTTTGTTGATCATGAATTATCATAAAATTTGCAAGAACATTCAAGAAAATGAACTCTCCTCGTTTCCCCGCCTTTTCGAAAGCTTTCGATCGATACCTAGACCGTCAAAACGGGCCACCATGGTGCGCCGCTAGTGGGGGCGCTTTTTTTGGTAAACCCGGTATTTGTTGAAAACCATCGGCTTTCGGGATCTATTAAAACACCGTCTTACCTTATCATCATCAGTGCTGACGAACCCGGGCTTTGGGGTCATGCAGTCGACTAACAGTTTATCAATTTTTTGCGGAAACAGGCCCCGTTGATTGATGACGCTTCTGAATTTATCGTAGAACAGGAGGAGGCAGCCAGCCAACATTTTTCGTCCCAGCGTTTAGGTCGTTTAGGTTGTTTTATCGTCCTTTTGGCGGATGCCCAAATCCAAAGAAAGATCAGGAAATCAGGAAGACGGGGGAAAAGTTGGCGGAAATTTCTGCCCCGAAAATTTGATTTTTAAGAAATAAAAAAGCGGTTAAGCAGCTTTCAAAACCGTGTTCATTTAGCCGTAGCCAATTACACAATCGACAAAATGGGAGGTCCCTAGTTAGACGAAGGTCAGGGCTGCAACGCCGCGAAGCGGTTTTTACGCCTGGTTCGTGATTTTTTATTTTTGGGCTTTTTCTACCATAAGCAATTCGGATTTGCAAGTGTTACCTGATCGGCTTGTTGACGCGTTGCAAATTGAGCAAGTCGCAGAAGCCCAGTTGATTGATGACGGCCGAGAGGAGGGCGTCTGGGAGATGGCCAACCGGGAACATCACTCCGGTCTGTATGGACAAGGTCTAGCCTTTGATATAATGGAACAAAGAAACGGAATTCCGAGAAGGAATTAAGGTACCGCACAGTTTGAAACAGGGGACAGGATGGGTGAGGGTCTTATTCTAGAAAGGCAGATGTACAGCCAATCGCTTAAACCTTGGGCTAGCTACAGGCTTTATGAGATGCAACTGAAAAAATTTTTAATTATGAGAAATACGGTAGTCCATAGTCCCTGAGTACATTGTTCCGGGGGAAAGCCTAAGTATAAACACTTTACAGCAAGCGCAAACAAGACGCTTTTCGAATCCGAGTTTGCCCTCCGATTAATGTGCATCCATTGATGATCCGAGGTCATCAGCTGCACACCTGTCTTTCTAGAATACAACCCTCCCCCATCCTGTCCCCTTTTTCAAACTGCGCGGTACCTTAATTCCTTCTCGAAATTCCGTTTCTTTATCCATTATAGCCAGGCTAGACCTTGTCCATAAGAACGGAGTGATGTTCCCGGCTGACCATCTCCCAAATGAGCTCCTCTCGGCCGTCATCAATCAATTGGGCTTCTGCGAGCTGCTCAATTTGCAACGCGTCAACAAGCCGATCAGGTAGTAGTGGAAAAGCCTAAAATCTGAAGCCGTGGACTTTTTCTTAATCTTTAGTTTTTCAGAAATTTAGTTAATATGATGGAAATAGGGATTTTAATAAATTTAATTTCTAACAACAATGAATAGGTGAAATTCAGACGCACGATCAATAAACGCGGCTTATTTCCCCGGAAACTGAGCCGGATGATGGTAACTGCCTGCACGCAAGGGTCTGCTTCTAGGGATACCGATGACGATAAGGTATGGGGGTAGCTATTTTTTGCCGCTTGATAATATATAGCCCATTTTATAGTCTTTTTAGTAGCTTTTGATTGCTAGGAAGTCCTACAAATATTTTACATTGGTTAAAAATTGAAAAACTTCGGTTTTTGGGTCATTTTTTATACATTTTTGGGTAAAAGTCAAAAATTTTCGAAAATTTCTATAATTTTTGAAGGTCATTTTGTATCTAAAAATACAAGACTATCAAAACAGATTTTTATTGTGTGATACTGTCCGAAATTACTGGCGGAAAGTTGGCCGCTCGTTCAGCTATGTCGCCCGTTAAAAAAAAAGAAAAGAAAGAAAGTTAAAAGTTAGAGCCCCGTTAAAAAGTTTAGTAAGCCCGTTAAAAAGAAAGAACCGGTAGTTCTAACAATGATTTGAAGAGTTTCAAACGTGACGAAGAATCATGGTGGAAGTAATTACATCCGGAACTCGAAAAAATTTCTAAAGTTATGATTGGTTGCCGAAAACTCCTTCTAATTTTCAGTTTTTGGTGCGAGGGATAATATTTATGGCGCGTGATTTGGACATGTGGGAATTGCACACCGATAACATTGAAAACCGGGTATATCTGCAGCGCCAGGACGTGATTTTCAGGTAAGTGGCAGGGCGGAGCAAACGCTCTGCGGTTAAATAATGTGAGAACGGCAACAGTCATAGTCCGTTTTCCAGAAAAGTCGACTGGTCGTGCAGCAATCTCATTAAATTATTGCCAGCATCGAGGGTCTTCATTGGCGGCCTAGCTTTGTTCGCCTTCGATCAGCGTGTTAGTCAGGTATCATTTCTTGTTCTTTCCATCGCCACTGTTGAGTAAAGGGCTTCGATATCTGGTCCACGCCCCCCTGCGTCGATTCTTGGCAAATAGCCAGATGCGACCGCGCCGCATGCCTTTTGTCCCTGTTTGGACGTGAAAACGCTTGAATTTAAAAATTCTGGAGCTATTTTTGTGATCCTCATCGAATTTTGATCATTCTAGAGTTTTTAATTATGAAAATTGATCACAGAATCACCGAGATCGAGGGATTGGGTGTCTTACAAGGCATTGCGACATGTAATCGCCGTTTCTGGGAATTTTCTACAGTAATTCTCTCGTCACTGCAGAAAATCTCTTGCAGTCTTGACAATACTGAAAAAATAGCGTTTTGATGCGGAAAACACAGGAAAAAGGTTCCTTTAAAATACAGTTGTTAATTTTGATAATTTGAGATCATCTGGCAGTGGAAGAGGAACAGTTACAAAAAAAGAGCAAAACAATGAAGTTGTGTATATAACTTAATGCTTATTTAGCTGTGCACACGGAAGCTAAAGCGTCTTGTCAGAATCATGAATGAAAATGGGCCCTGTGAGGTTGGCTTATTTGAATAAAATTTAAGCACTAAAATATTAGAGAAGAGAGAGTGAGAGAGAGTGAGTGAGAGTGAGAGAGTGAGAGAGTGAGAGAGTGAGAGAGTGAGACAGAGGGCGAGCGAGAGAGCGAGGAGAGAGAGAGTGAGAGAGTGAGAGAGAGTGAGCGAGTGAGAGAGTGAGACAGAGGGCGAGCGAGAGAGTGGGCGAGCGAGAGAGAGAGAGAGAGAGAGAGAGAGAGAGAGAGAGAGAGAGAGAGAGAGAGAGAGAGAGAGAGGGTGAGTGAGCGAGTGAGACGGACACATTTCAGATTACCCCAATCCTTCGTTGGCCAGCGGCCATCGAGTCGCTCCATTTCCGTGTGGAGGAAAACATTTCGAATTTTGACATCTTTCGGAAGCTACAGGCCGCGTATCGACATGGCGCGGACGAATTGGAGCTCAGCTGGGCATGGCGTGACTAATCTTTTTTTGCCTTTTCCAGTTTTCAAATACAATTTGTTTTAGCTTGGTGGACGCGGCCAGACGCTAAAGAAGGTCAGTTTTTTTATCAGTTACGCCAAGTGCGAATCAGATTCTGGTGTCCCAAAAAAATCGACTCCCTCTGGCGGGCCGCAGAAGTGTTTTTGTGTGTTTCTGACGTTTAGCTATCTATTGAAAGCCCTCGGAAAGGCGAAAAAATACACTATTCTTTTTTCAATATTGGCACTTTAATTCACGAATTTTAGGATAAAAATTCATGAAAATGCAGATTGTAAGCAAAATCCGCATGTAAATTGCTTTCTAAAGCTAGCAGGGCGACGCTGATTTTTCGCTTTTTTAAGAATCGTTGAATATCGAGCACGGGCTCAGAAAGTTTCTAAAAAGGACAGCGATTTTTTCGCCTTTTCGAGAGCTTTCGAATGGTGTAAAATTCGCCCCGATCCGACATTTCTCCGGACCGCTAGTGGGTCGATGTTTTTGGGGCACCCTGTAGTTTAGACTGATGATCGAATCCGCTGTGCGAGATGTATCGAGGTCGGTAGTTTAAAAACGGAATTATTTTTTCTGTAGCGGTATGGCAATGCGGCGCCATGGGATTGTAGTGTGTGCGAAAAAGCGTGGGCGAATTGTTTATCAAACAAATGGGGCCATTGGCCGGAAGTGGCCTTCGACGGCATTCGAGATTTCAGTGTCGACGCTATCGCAAATATGACTGATGTGGGTTTTTCGCGGATTTTTTAGAAAATATCTAATTCCTCGTTTTGGTCCATTTTTAATGAGCTACTGTACCGGATACCTGATTGTCAGCTTTTATACACTGGTGGACATAATTATAGCCTCAGTGAAAATTTTTCGAAAATCTCATTTCTGGCGGTGTTCATTGAAAGCGTTCTATAAGGGAAAGTAGCTGTATTCTATCACAATTTCATACCACAAACCGCTTTTGTGGTTCTTTGGCAAAAAATTTTTTAGGAATTTTGCCCAAAAAAGGCACTTTGAAAAAGGGACATAATTATAGCCTCACTTGGGTAACATTTAAATAAAAAATTAAACCAGGGTTGAAAAACCGCTCCGCGGCTTTTCACCCCTGGGCCTCGTCTAGGAACGATCAGAAAAAATTCTTTGCATATTCTGCCCAAATCCCGCTGACAAAAATGGGAAATATCCTCTGTAGCCTGATTTTTATAGGCAATATCCACTTCCGGTGCATGCAAATTTCGCCTAACAAAGGTACCTTCACAAACCCTAAATTTAATGTTGAAAATAGTAAATTTTGAAAAATCTAATAAGTCGGCAGCCATCTCCACTCCATTACGCACCAAATGACGTATCAAACATGTCGGAAAACTTCTTCCCCGACCCGTTATGAGCGGAACATACACCCGGAAGTGGATGCAAATCTACACAGACACACACACACTATTTTTTTATATATAGTAGGATACTCGCACAAATCAATAAGAAACAATTCCAATAATCTTTGGCTACGCCATTTCATGTAATTTGATGGGGGAGATGCCTCTCCAAGCCAGAATACAGGCGGGCGATCGACTTTTTGCTTGACCGGATGCGAGGTGGAGACAATCCTCTGTTACGACGCGATACTCTTTTCTTCTGCTTAGATTTTGAATACCGGGGAGCTTTGGACATGGCCAATCACGTTACAGTCAATAAAATTACCCGGCGACGCTAAAAAATCCACTTTTAAGGGGTTGGGCCGACTCTGGGACCCATTTGGCTCGAAGAATTAAGGCTTCATCTTACTCTTAAATCAGATTCTGATCCTGATTTCGATCGGAAATGTGCTGTTTCTTGAGTTGAACAATTGGAAATTATTGACATGGTTCCGTTAAGTCAAGATCACGCATCATTTCCTTCCTGCTCGTGAAGAACTGATCTTCCAAACGGGCACAGCAACACTTTGATAGTTTTTCGTCCAAATCAGTTTTTTCTGCGCAATGCAAGGCGAAACTTTTCCGGATGGCTACGCGAGAGCCTCTAACCATTGGAAACGTTGATCTGGAGAATTTTGGCGGGCCCGAAGCCTACCGTATTCCTTAAAACCGTCATCTTCTGTGACGGACGAACTCAACACGATTTTCGCAGTGGCGTTCGTCCGCTTTGGCGCGACTCGTTGCGCAGCGGAATTCAGCACATTTCCGATCGAAATCAGGATCAGAATCTGATTTAAGAGTAAGATGAAGCCTTAATTCTTCGAGCCAAATGGGTCCCAGAGTCGGCCCAACCCCTTAAAAGTGGATTTTTTAGCGTCGCCGGGTAATTTTATTGACTGTAACGTGATTGACCATGTCCAAAGCTCCCCGGTATTCAAAATCTAAGCAGAAGAAAAGAGTATCGCGTCGTAACAGAGGATTGTCTCCACCTCGCATCCGGTCAAGCAAAAAGTCGATCGCCCGCCTGTATTCTGGCTTGGAGAGGCATCTCCCCCATCAAATTACATGAAATGGCGTAGCCAAAGATTATCGGAATTGTTTCTTATTGATCTGTGCGAGTATTTAATTTTTTATTTAAATGTTACCCAAGTGAGGCTATAATTATGTCCCTTTTTCAAAGTGCCTTTTTTGGGCAAAATTCCTAAAAAATTTTTTGCCAAAGAACCACAAAAGCGGTTTGTGGTATGAAATTGTGATAGAATACCGCTACTTTCCCTTATAGAACTCTTTCAATGAACATCACCAGAATACGAGATTTTCGAAAAATTTTCACTGAGGCTATAATTATGTCCACCAGTGTATAGATAGATTTTATAGGTGGCATTTTGCCCGATGGTTCCACCATTGAGGGAGCGGATGGTGCGGGTCTCCGGAGAATGTGAATGGCCACATTTCGACCTACAGGAATTTATGGTAAATCCTACTATAAATAAAAAATGTCAGCGTGTCCGGAGGATTGCTCAAGAAAGGAAGGGCTGAAGGGGGCGTATGATACGTCATTAGATCCGTTATTTACAGCACCAATTCGGACAACGACTCGAGCGTGTTCATGCGGGTCACGTGGAATTGATATTTAAGGAGAAAGAGGATCAGGATGCTCTCAGAACATCGGTGTCGAGTCGACTAGCGGTGAGAACTATGCAGCACTGAGCTATCAAACCTAGCACCTCCCTTCAGCGGTCCTGCAGGGGCGTCCGAAGAGTGTTTCAGGTTTTGGAAAAAGTCAACAAACAAAAGTTTCGGTTTTTTTTGAACTTACGAGCGCTGGTAATTAAATAACTTAATTAAATGAATTCAAACTAGCAGCCAGACTGTAAGAAGTTTTTTTTAGGAAAAGGCGGTTTTGCTCGTTACGCTTTCAATCCATCCCATAACCGAAATTCTGATGCCTAATTTGCAGATTGTGCAAAAGGGCGTCACCATGCGATTCAACCTTCTCAAAGCCTATGGCAAAGGCTAGTGCTTTTTTTATTACCCCAGCTTTTAGCTCCTGAAAAAAAAGCAAAAACAAAAGCAAACTATACCTTTTAGTAAGAAGAATAAGTTTTTTATTTATAAAACTAAATTTAGTGCGAATTACTATCGTTTTCAGACTTTTTGGCATCCTTCCTGTGGTCGCGGCGGGAATTCGTTACCCAGGACGGGTGGCATGTGGTCAGCGCGCGGGAGCAGAGCAAGAGGCCGGCCAATTTCTTGGTGGCCCTCATCGAACTGTAATCGGCACCACGGGCTCGATTTCCGGTTTTCGGTCAATCAATTCGTTTTTTTTTTGTTGTGCGATAAATTTGTCTAAAACTTGGTTAACAGACCTTTGATCTTTTCGAGCCCGGAAGCCACGACCCGGCTTCAGTCTCGGGCTTAGCTTGGGTCAGGTTCAGGTGTAAGCCTGGCTTTGGCTTAGCTTCGCGTCGGGCTCAAGCTTAGGCTCGCCTCGACTTCGGCTTAGAAATTACTATTACGCTTCCGCTTAAGTCTGGGCTTAGCTGGACTTAGGCTCAGCATTAGGCCTAGCTTAAGCTACCGCTTGACTTGGACTTTAGCTCAAACTTAAGCTTAGATTCTACAAAGTCGAATAGCTTTGCGTTTTTCGCTTTTCGGCGGAGTCTTAGAGGGCGAAGTCTTTGCTTTCAAGTCCAACCTCAAGTGAACGCCGCCTGAAAAAAAGGCGTTCGTCTCGGAACGAAGCGTTGTGTAGTCAAGATCAGCGTGGCTGGGGGATGGCTCTCAAGCCATTCCGCCCCGATCCCCCTTTCCTTCCTTCTGTATTTGTGTATTTGCCAGTGAGGGCCACTTTTCACCTCTTTTTTTACGTCTATCCCTCCTCCCTTTTCTCAGAGACTCCGTGTACCCACCCACCCACAAACCACCCCCTGAATCACCCACCTCTTCCGGGGGGATTTCCTGAGTTATTTCATGCCCGGCTATAGCTGGCATTTTAGCACGGTATTTTTATGTTTTCTCGGTACGAAATATTTCTCAAAAAATCTCTGCTAGTTGCCATTTTTTCTCTAATGATCTCCGCCGGCCCCTACAATTCCTCAAAGAATCTCCGCTAGCCGGCCCCCTCCATCCCCTCCAATTCTTCAAAGAATCTCTGCTAGCCTGCCCCCGTCCATCCCCTCCAATTTCTCAAAGAATCTCTGCCAGACTGCTCCCGTCGATCCCCTCAAATTCCTTAAAGAATCTCTGCTAGTCTGCCACCTCCATCCTCTCCAATTCCGCAAAGAATCTCTGCTAGCCTGCCCCTAGCTTTTTGATCAGTTGAAGCATTTCCGGTTGCGTTTTTCGGACGAGATTCCGGGCAGCCGGCCAGCAGACGCCTCGGTGTAACCGGATACTGCTCAAGTTTGGCGTATTTTAAGACCGGACCGGCTGAGACTAAACTTGAAGCCTGTGCTAACTCGGAATTGGCGCGCGCAAGTGGATTAAGCGCCTTAAATGGGTTAAAAAGGATCTATCATGTTGACATTTGGAACATCACGTAACTGTCGAGATCTAGTTGCTGGGACGGGTTGATTTTCGCGCTTCAAAGTCCCTTTAAAATGCGATTGTGTGAAAAACTGGGGGTCACAAATCTTGTGTACAAAACAAATTGCGCCCACCGATCGTAAAGGGTGGGGGGGGAGAGGATGCGTGTGTCCAGTTTAGCCCCCCTGTAGCCCGGGGCTGGTAGGACCTGGGGGGACCTAGCTCCAAAGGGTATTACAATTTTCTGGCCGGCAAGAAGAGAGAGAGAGAGAGAGAGAGAGAGAGAGAGAGAGAGAGGGAGAGAGAGGGAGATACCAAGCCAAGCCCGAGTCAGTTGGCCCCGGGCCACGGGCCTTTAGCTCTCCCTCCCCTCAGATCTGGGCCCCTCTAAATCCATCAACTCCACTCGTGAATTGGCCTCGGAACGCTGTTCCAGGGCCCATCTTCACTTTTCACTGTTTTTTTTCAGGCTAACTCTGGTGCTCTCTGATTCTTTCTCTCTCTCTCGCTCTCGCTCTCTCTCTCTCTCTCTCTCTCTCTCTCTCTTTCTCTCCCTATTGGACGATCGGCCAGTTGTTTTCAACCATACTGTGATCGGCTCAAGGGTCAACTTTTCGCGTTCCAATTTTTCGCCGTTTTCTGCTTTTTTTCCTACCATGCCGATTTCTCTGCTTATTTTACTTTTTCATCGGTCTGTAAGTCTGCAAAATATGCTATTTATGATATTTGTTACTTTCCTTAGTTTTTAATGAATTTAAAAACTTTCGTAAGCATGTAATTTTGTCCGTAAGCGTTTTTATCCCCTTCTTTGTTCGTTAGTACGCGTCTTTGCACGTGCATTTTAGTGTTTTTGTTAACCGTCCTGGTTGTTGCAAATTTTTTTTGACCAGCTAGCCGCATGGAAATTTGCGCTGTAACGCGGGCAGGCTAGCAAAGAATTTCCGGGTCCCGGAAAACGTGCTCCGAGATTTAATTACTGCTCCAAAACGGCGGCACTTCTGCCAGGATTCCTGCTACTCTAAACCAGCCCGTCTAAAAATAGAGAGATCGGAAACTTGTAACGGTCTGATGCTTGACTCTACCCATACGCCCCTTCCGGCTGGCTGCTAAAAAGTCGTCGGGGATAATGTCGACCAGATGTCGGTGTAGAGGGCGTTGTTTCTAAACGGGAATGTGGGAGGAAGCTAGCATCATCAAGTATTCAACCGGTTTAAACGTTTTTATTGCCTTACTCTCTCTATCTCTCTTTCTCTCTCTCTCTCTCTCTCTCGTTCTCTCGCCCGTTTCACAAATAATCTTTGCTTGCCGAGCATGAGGGTTTTATTGGCTCCTCCAAGAATCTCTGCTTGCCTGCCCCATCCATCCCCTCCAATTCCTCAAAGAATCTCTGCTAGCCTGCTCTCCCCAATCCCTCAAAAAACTTCTGCTAGCCTACCTAGCCAATTTTCAGACAGCTAGCAGCGATTTTTGAGCCATTTTTCCGATTAAAGCGCAGGGCAGGCTAGCAGAAATACTTTGAGGATTAGCACCAGCTTGAGAATGGCTTCGGTACCTAGCAACGATTCTTTAGGAAATCGGTGGGTTTGAATTTCTGATTTTAACATCCCCCTGACCAGCTAGCAAGCTAGCCCCCCCCCCATCATCTAGATATCCGTGAGAGGACAAACATCGATGCAACGTGATGGTCACCGAATAGAGGGCAGGCTAGCAGAGATCGTTGAACAAATAACATGCCGTGGGGGGAAAGACATGGAACCTGTGTGTGTGGCCAAGAGAAGAAGCTCTCATACAGGACTGCGGGGGGGGGGGGACTATCCCTTGAGAGTGTCTTCTCTATGGAAGGGGAAAAGCCACGCGCACATCGATCCCTCCTGCGGTGCCATCTCTCTTCTTTTAGAGCCTAGAGAGATCATCTGGATTTACTTTTTTCTTTGGCTAGAGAGTTTTTCTGATTCTCTAGCTATCTCTAGCTCTGTCTGTCTCTCTGGCGCGCTCTCTCTCTCTCGCTCTCTCTCGCTTTCTCTCTGATTTTTCTGGCTAAATCAGCTTTGCATTTACTCGTGTTCTCTAATATTCTGGTAACTTTTGATTTTTTGAACAAGCTTTTTCTCTCTCACTCTCTTTATCTCTTTCTCGCTTTCTCGCTCTCCCTTTCTCTCTCGCTTGCTGGCTCTCTCGCTCTCTCTCTGTCTCTCTCTCTAGCTCTTTCGCTATCTCGGTTTCTCGCTCTGGCTCGTTCTCGTTCTCACTCTCCCTCTCTCCCTCTCTCTCTCTCTCTCTCTCTCTCCTCTCTCTCTCTCTTGCTCTCTAGCTCCATTTCTCTTTTTGGTTTCTCAAAGAGTCTTCGCTAGCCTGTCTTCAACTTCGTTCGGTTTTTTTATTTTGTAATGTTTTCTTTGCTTCTTTGCTTCATTTACAGCGAGCCGGTTTTTCCACTAAAATCTCAATTTCGCTGCTAACCGCTTCCCCTTAAGCTTCTTCCTAAGATACGAAGTTAATCGAACGAAACGCTTTCCCCGTTAAAAAGGTTTCCCCACAGCAATCCTTCCGCAAGCTTTTGCTGCTGTACTTGCAGTTATTGGGCTGCGAAAATTTTTAAAGAATCGGGCAAGACAAGCGCATGGATTTTGCTGGCTTTGAATCTCACGGATTTCCCGCACCACCTCCAGAAACTGGCAACTCGGGCTTTCCATTGCTTGAAGGTTGATGACCGCTTCGCGCCGCGCTCAGGCCGTATGTCACTGGGTTGACATGTGCGAAAGTTTCGGAAATTCAGAGCCCACTTATGTCTGATTTGGTCGACCCGTTAAAGGGGCTAACAAGTTCTGTTTTCCTCTCAATTACTGCCGTAACGTGTAAGCGCCATGTTCTCGAGCATTGGGTTGGAAGTCAAAGCGCGTGATCCTGGCGCAAACTTCCGATTTAAATTTAGCTCACCTTTCGGTTTGAATATTTTTTACGTTATTTTGAGACGAAATAATTTCCTGGCATTTTCGTACATCAAACCTTTACATATTTAGATCCGTATGTTACATCCAACACACGTGAGCTTTGACTTCGAGCTCCTTTACGACAAACCCCCAAAATTTGAACCTATCTATCTAGATTCCGGGCCCAAAAAACCTATCCGCCTGGCACACACACACTCAGGTCGGAGCACTGTGCGCAATTTTGCCGGCGCAGGGGCACAAAAATGTTTGTCCTTTTGTCTCTTTCCCTCTCTCTCTCTCTCTCTCTCTCTCTCTCTCTCTCTCGCTCTTCCTCTCTCTCTGATGGGCCACACACACTGACCGTGAGGCGGCTTTTCCTGCTACCATCACAATCCCATGACCACCGGGGCTTCATCTGCCATTAAATCCGCGATGCGCCAAATCACGGCATGTTGTGCCTGAAATTGCCCCGAAATTCCGTTCCACTACTCCGAACGCGGCCGTTTCCACTCGAATGAGCGATTTCCTAAAAAGCGCCCCTCCCCGGCGACCTACCGTATCCGCTGAAAAAGCTGATATTTTGTCAATATTCTGGACCATCAGGCCTAAAAAGTGACCCGGCTACCGTACCCACCCAACAACCCGATCGACCGCATCGACTAGGAGCCCGTTTTCCTAGCGAATCCCACATTTTATTGGATTTTTCTGACCCCGCTACCATAATCTCATTTTTGGGGATTTACATTGCGTAATCGACTTTTGTTTGCTGGAGATTTCACTTCCCTGGCCCTTTAAAATAGTTTTTACGTTTTTCGTTTTTTTTCAACTGTAGCTTGCGTAGGATTATATCGTATTTTTTGCTTTTTCTATTTTTGCGTGCGTAGAATTTTTCCAAAGTTCTCTAAAAGTTGTCTAAGATACCGTAGCGTCCCGCGTATCGTAGCGTCCCGCGTGTCGTAGCGTTCTCTTGTGACTTTTGTACTGTTGCGTAGTCCTCCAAATTCAGTAGCATCTGGCGTATTCTAGCGTATTGTTGCGTAGTTTGTACTTTTCTGTAGTCTTCTCAATCCTGTCCAATTTACCGCACTCATCGACCGTACTGTAGCGTGAATTTGCGGAATTTTGTGCTATTGCGCAGTCTTCCAAATCCTGTCCACTCTACTGTATCCGTCAACCGTGTCCTAGCGTACTCTTGCGTACTTTGTATCGCGTAGTCCTGTAAAAACTGTCCAAAGTACCGTACCTGTCAACCGTATCCCAGCGTACTCTTGCGTATCTTGACTCCTCCGTACTGTCATAATTCCTGCCCAATCTACCGTACCCCTCCCCAAGCCACTCCTCCCCCCGTCGCTGTCCCTTTAATTAACCCCCGAAAACCGACCGACCGGCTCGCGATGCTCTCCCAAGTGTGGGAAGAGCTTCTCACGGAACTCGCCACTACCGTAGCCACCGTAGCCTACCGTACCCCACCGCAGACGGTACTTCTAGGCGCGCAGGTGGCCGCAATGGCGGCCAGCCTCTACTGTCAATCATGTCGCGGATGTTGCTACGCACCCGCCACACGGCATACTGGTGAGTCACGCGACTCTTGGAAGCGTCACCGTCCCTTTAAGTTCAAAAAAGTTTTCCCAAAACCGCCTTTGCTAGCTTGCCCTTGAGAAATTTGCCCGCTAAAAACGCTATAAACTCGTTGACAAACTAGAGATCATCTCAAAACGTCTATGCTAGCTTGCCCTTCCGCAAGATTACCCTCCCTTCAAAGCGTAATTTTTGTTTAATTCCTCGAATTTGGCAAAGAATCACTGCTAGCTTGCCTTCCACTGTTACTAGCTAGCACGTAAGGTGTATATTTAGCTTCTAAATACCCAAAATCCGCAAAAATCTCTGCTAGCTTGCCTCCAATATATAACCGGCAAGCGGCCCTCAAGCCGCAAATTTTTCCTAAAAGGTCTCTGCTAGCTTGCCTACATTTTGAATAGCTGAGACGTCCCCTTTAAAAGACAGAGCGCAGCCACAGCCACTCAAAATTTGCCTAAAGCAAGTTTTACTATTCAAACTTACAAAATTTAATTGAAAAAAACAAAAAAAATTTGAGCTGTTGACCAAAAATGATTTGTTTTTTTGAGCAAAGTTTCGATTTTTTGCAAAATTTTTCATCTTTTTCGATTTTTTTCTAATTAAAATATACAGGGTGTCCCAAAAAAAACCCCCCCCTCGGCATTTGGCCGTCTTCCATCCAATCGGGACCAAATTTTTACCAGTGATGGGGACCCATAAAAACTATGTGCAGCCGAATTTTCTAAGCAAAATATTGTAAAACAAAGAAGATATATCAAAATTAAGGTTAATTTTGCCGATTTCACTAGGATTTTGACGGATTTCGGCCTCGAAATGTTTAGCAAAAATGAAGGGGGCGCTCTTTTCTACCTGTAGAAATTTTTTGATTTACGAAAATTACGTTTAAATTGGGCCTTTCGATCACTTTTTATTATCGAAATTGCCAGAAACTGACCGAGAAATGACCATTTTTTGGAAAATTACTCAAAATCCGCATGCTAATTGCGAAAACATAGCCAAAAACGAGTACCAGCGTTTTCCCAAAATCAGTTTTTTAGCGATAACTTTTTGGTTTTACAATATTTTGCTTAGAAAATTTGGCTGCACATAGTTTTTATGGGTCCCCATCTCTGGTAAAAATTTGGCCCCGATCCGATAGAAGACCGCCAAATGCCGAGGGGGGGTTTTTTTTTGGGACACCCTGTAGTTTTATTTCAATAAAAACATTATGAAAATACTTGCTATTGAGTTACTAGGCATTTCTAGATCAATACCAAAAAAAAATTTGTCCCCCGCGATAATGCGCAAGAACCAAAATGCTCGCACTTTCCAGATGACGATCGCAAATGCCCGGGCCACATCCACATCCCGAAGCCAATTTTCGATCACCGTAAAAAGGGCAAGAAGCCGTCGACGAGCAGCAGTGTCGACAATATACTCCCAATTGGAGGTTCATGGCCCGAAGATCGAGCCGATCATCATGATCGCCTCTCCCTTCGGGCTTTTGGACTGTTGCCAAGGGCCGGATCGTCGAGGGAATCTTCCGTTGATAGCACGCATACCCCATCTACTGCCACTTCCAGCCACAGCTCACGATTTTCCTTGACTTCCGCATCGAGTCGGGTGGGTGCTTTGCTTTGAATTTTGCGAAGAAAATATTGTAAAATACTTTCTAGGGCTTTTAAAGGTACAGAGAAGTCAAAAAAAGGTAGATAACACTCCAATTTTAGCGTAATTTTGCATTTTTAAGTGACATGTGATTTCTGACGCGTTTAAAGGCCCTGGCAAGGCAAATAATTTAGATTAGAAAACCTTGATTTTTTACGAATTTGGCACGCTTTTCGAAGAATTAGGAAGAGAGAAAATGTGTCCTAACCACTTGCGACATTCGGATGTTGGGGTCCATAGTAATGCCCTACGCGTTACTTTAAAAAATAGGCCATTCAGGCGCTTTCTAGTCCCTTTAAACGCGAAAATCAACGGCTACAGCCAGTTGGGCCTGATCTAAACGACACCTCGGCGTAGTTTGTAGCTTCGCGTAGCTGTCGAGGCCTAGGTGATCAGCCGTGTCGATTTTAGGGTCTGACCAGTCCCTTTAAAAACAAAAACCGACATGTACTTCCGACTAGGTCTGGACAATTACGTTACGCTCCAAATGACACCTGTCCGTTGGCTGGTTGTGGATGGCTCTGGCAAAGCTGATAAAAAATAATAGCTTTTATTAGCGTAATCTGGAGCGACCCATAACTGTTGAGGCCTAGTCAATAGGAGGGGTCGATTTTAACGCCTTTTAGTTATTTTTAAAGCAACCATCGAGTTTTCCATTGACTAGGCCTAGACAGCGACGCGACACTCCAAATTACGCAATTCAGATCGCACTTTCCAAGCTTCTAACTAAGCATTTTGGGATGACGCGTCGTCGTCGAGACCTAGTCGATAGGAGGGGCCGATTTTAGGGCTTGCTAGATCATTTGGAACAGCATTGACTAGGCCTAGACAATTACACGATACTCCAAATTACGCGATACTAATGCCATTTTGAAAGTTTCTAAATCATGCCGCGTAGTCGTCGAGACCTAGTCGGTCGGCGCGGTCGATTTTAGCGCTTTCTAGACCCTTTAAAATCAAATCTTTCAGGGCACCGACAAGAAAAAACACGGCCTCTTCTGCCGGCTGATGAACCGGAACCGGAAGCGGAGCCAGGATTCCGTACTTTCGACGACAATTCCCGAGGACCAGCCGGGATTCGTGAGGCGTCGTGGGCGTCCCGGGGCGCCCCGGCTCTCCCGGAAGAACTCACAGTCCTTACCGTCGATGCTTGAAGACCGTACGGAGTACAAGCGACGGTCGCACAGCGAGCGTCCGAGGGCTGTTGCATGGTGGGATGATCCTGTACACCGACGCTCTCTGTCCGCTCAACCTCTGACGACCCGAGGGGTCGAACCCCCGACTGGGATGCGGTTGGATTGGATCGACAGCCAGGGGGACAATCCCGATTGTTGCAGGTTTATAGGGGTTTTGCAGGGTCTATTAGTGTGGATACATTTCTTGCATGTTATATATGTCGTCTTCAAAAAAACCTTCTAGGGTTCCGTAGGAACGTCGGATTTTTGCGATTTAGGTATCTATCCAAAGCTCTTGGAAAGGCACATCTATCTGCGCACTTTAATTCTTAAAATTCCGAAATTTTGGCTAGCTTTTTGGCGTTTTTTTATAAAAAAGCAGCAATTTTTCGACAAAACAAAACGACAAAGACAAAGCAACTAAATTTCGCCGGCCAACACCCCCGGCGATGTTTTCCAAAAAACTTTCAAGAAAGCTAGGTGGCCATCAACCGCTAAAAAACGGAGAAATTTTTTATAAATTTCATTTTACGAGAAAAGAACCAAAAACTCCGGTCGTTTTGCGACTATCTGAGGTAAACGTTACAAAAAAACACCGGAATTTCGAAAATCGCAAGCACATTTCTCCTTGGCTTGTGGCGAGCTTTCGATAGATTCCTAAAGCGTAAAATTCGGAAACGTCGGAGGACAGCTAGGCAAGGTTTTTGGACACTCTGTGTTAGTGTGAATCCAGTTTGCTCTATGTTTGCTCTTGTCACGGTTTAATCGGATCCATTATTGCATGGATGGCCTGCTACGTATGTATATTTTCTGTATAGCATGCTTCTATGTGCGCTTACTTCATGGGGCGCACTTCTACTGTAACAAACTTCAAAAATTGTCATTCGTTAGAAAAAATTTGAGCATCATATTCATAAATTTTGCAAGTATCAATCAGTCGGCCAGTCAGTCTCCTTAACCTATTCTAGCCCTTCTCTGACCCCACTTCTGCTAGCCTTTGGACCAGCTACTACGACTATCACCACCTTCCTTCTAACGTTTCGGGGCTTTCGATTTTTCTGTAAACCGCTTTTTAGGGAGAAGCGCAAGCCCGGCTTCCGGCCGTTCAGCCCACCGGAGAAGGGCAACCGGAAGAGGGACAGGTAGAGTAGGACAAATGATTCTAAAGGGATGCGAAAGCCCAAAATCGACCGTCCCTGGGCTGGGTATCGACAGCGACGCGGCGCTCCAAATGACGGTCTAAAACGCATAGCAATTTTTGCCTCATCCCCAAGCCCAAAAGGCCATCCAATAAAGATTTTGGCCTTCTTAGCCGCATTTTTGTGGCTGTCGAGACCTAGCCGATGGAAGGGGTCGATTCTCGCGCTTGCTCGTGCCTTTAAGGGGTCAAAAATTGTTATGATTGACCGGGGCAATCTAACAAATACCGTTTGGAAGGCCAACCTGGCTTCCAGGTGTCTTTAAAAGCTCGGAATTTGGTGCTCATTAGTCAGGTCAAGCTAGCAAATACCATTTGGGAAGGCGCTACCGCTACTGGTTCTATAAATTGCGCGTTGCTCGATAAGTCCGGCAAACTAGCAAAGACAATTAGGGAAATCTTCAGTCAAATCCTAGCTTCCAAGTCCCTTTAAAACCGAAATTAACCCTTCCCAGGGCCGAAAAAGACGCCGCCAAGCTCGTCGCCAAGGCCGAGGAGAAGACCCGAAAACGACAAGAGAAGGAGCAGAGGCACAGGGAGAAGGAGCTCGAAAAGATTCGGAAAAAGGAGGAAAAACAGAGAAAGAGAATGGAAGGCCAGCCGAAACGGGGATTCTTTTCGGTAAGTAAATTGAGGGGAATTTGTCTCAAAGCTAAATTTTTTAGCGCTGGTTTGGAGGTACGGATTCGCCGTCATCAAGGAGGACAGAGGACGAGACACCATCGCTACGGTCAGATGCACCGAGGTCACATCGGGATGACCCGGATTTCGCCACGATCGAGCAGTACAGAAGGGATCTGGAGGCGATGCAGCAGAGGGAGAGAGATGGTGAGTTTTGAGGGCGATTTTGCAGGGCTAGCTAGCAGAGATTCTTTGAGGAATTGGAGGGGATGGAGGGGGCAGGCTAGCAGAGATTCTTTGAGGAATTGGAGGGGATAGATGGGCAGGCTAACAGAGATTCTTTGAGGATTTTTGAGAATCCATAATTCATGAATTATTACCCACCCCCAGTCGAATCATTTGTGCCCTTAAGGCATGCAGGGCCAAAAACCCCGTGGCGGCCCGTGTTGTTTTCCCCCAACAGGCCCCGGATGGCTAGCAGCACGGGTCGTGGGCGAGAGAATTTTTAGCGGATGGAGCCAGAGAGAGAGAGAGCCAGAGAGAGAGAGAGAGAGAGAGAGAGAGAGAGAGAGAGAGAAAGAGACAGAGCAACAGCTGACGCCCCAGCGTTTCTTTGGCCATCCCTAAAATATGGACCCTCGGAGTCGACTTTGACGATTACTACGAGCACGACGTGACCATTGGGGAAATTGGAAAATTAGGAAGCTACAAGCTGCTGTAGCTGAAGAAAAAATACCGTAATTACCGAAATTACGATAATACCCTTAATTTCCAGACCTACCTTATTCGAACGTTGCGCTAAGTCTCGTCACGATACGCTACAATACGATACACTGGGCAACGCTACGCAAAAGTTGCATTACGTAAGGCTACGCAGCGCTACAGTAGGATACGCTACGCTACGATACGCTAAACAATGCTATGCTACGGTACGGTACGCTAGGCTACTGTACACAAAGCTGAGTTACGCTACGCTGCGCTACACTGGCAAAGGATAGGTAAAACCTACGCTAGGCAAAGCTACGCTATGCAACGCTAGACAACACTACGCAGCGCTACAGTAGGCAAGAAACACGCAAGGCTACGCTAGGCAGGGCTAAAGTGGACAGCGCTACGCCAAGCTACGCTACGTAGCGAAGGCAGTGCAACGCTGCTCAAAGCTACACAACGCTACGTATCGCTACGCAAAGCTACGCTACTCCACGCAAAAATACGCAAAGATACGCTAGGCAAGGCTACAAAGTCGTGCTAGTTTCCAATCCACGCTCTTTCAAGCTACAGCCATTGCCAACAAATTCCGAAACGTTCCTTTGCAACAACATCTGGTAGAACATTCGCCCCTGGCAGATTTTTGGCTTTTTTCACACGGGCCCCAGATCGCTTGATCAAACGCGAGGGGGGAAAAGGCGTTGTGGGACCCGCTCTTTCCACTGGACAGCCGCCCCATAAAATTTTCGAGGAGGAGGAGGTGGAGCAACAGGGCTTTTCCCTGCTTTTCCCTTCCCCCCGCCAGGGACCGAGTCATTTTTGCGGCCCACCCCCCGGGATCTACACGCCCAAAATTCGATCGATATTCGAACCCTATCCCTAATTTTGTCGGCTGCGTGGATCCGGAATTCCGTTACGATCCTGACGGCGACAGAGACGAACCCCTTTCCCCCCTATCCTTCCCTTTAGTGGGAGATGATCCCGGGTCGAGGCGTGGGCGGGCCGGCCCAGTTGCCGCCTGATCGCTTTCAGCGGTTGCGCGACGGTACGGTAGATGGAGTGTACTTTGCAGTCTCGTACAGTGGAAATTCAAGAGACCGGCAAGCCACGAACAGTTGATTGGCCATGGATCCCATATAGCTTTTTTTAGACTTCCCGATCCCTTTAAAAACCTAAGTTGGCGAAGTGCAATAATTGCTTTTTAGCCATAAATTCTTAAGGATTTCCCAACTCGGAACCGACGGCTTAGAATCATTAGGTCTCGACATCTGCGCACCGCGCCTAAATACGTTTACAAAAACGGCTGAGGCTTTGATGGCAGCCACTTCACGGAGTGTTAAATGTGATGGATTGCCTAGTGTTATTTGGAGGGTTGCGTAGCTGTCGAGACCTAGTAGGTCGCCGGGGTCGATTCGCGCGATTCTTCTACTAAATTTTTACCTTAGTTTTTCGTTCCTAATTTTTTAATACTCATGGACGCAAAAACATTACAAATTTTTATGTAAAATCTGGATTTTCGACCGAGGTTCAAAATTTTCAGATGTTTTTATAAACGTTTTTCCGCTTAAAATATAGTTAATTTATATTAAAAACTAATTAAAAGATTTGCTATTACGTCTAGGCATTTCCGCATTGATAAGACCCCGATAATGCGCAAAAACCTAATTCCATTAGGGTTTTGAAATCACCTTCAATGTGGTCGCCATGGAATTCCCAAAGAATCTCTGCCAGCTTGCCCAGTTTACCGTAATTAAAATTAAATAAAAAGTTTAGAAAGCTAAGCATTAAAAATATGAAAATCCATCGTATAAAATTTCATATTTAGGCTCAGCCCCAGCCGGCCCTCGTGTCCACTTTTCGGATGAGGCACGCGGCGGACGAGCGGAAAGCGCCAATCCACCACCACAGGTAGCAGGAATTCCCTGCAAGGGTTTAAAGGGATGGTGCCAGCTTGGCGGACTTGTTACAAGTTATCGCTCTATTGAAACCCGTTCAGCGCCGCCCCTACTACCCCTCCGAGCAGCGTCAGGTGCAAGTACAACGTCGAAAGGAACTCCACTCATCGGCCAACGCTCTTGATGAAGCCACCGCTGACTTGTTGAGGCTGTCGGCTGGTGAGTAGATGTTCAGAAGCATTCCTAAATAGGCTTCTTCATTTAAACTTTTTAATTCTGTATTAATTGTAATTTCGCAGAACCCTCACCCGTACCATCCCTCCGCACCTCCCAGAAACTGCCAAAAGCGGCATCGAGCAGTTCGGTGCCCAGGACCATTCAGACACGGGTACGCTTTTATCGGATTTTAAAGGAACCAAGAAACGTAAAGATCGACCCCTTTCATCGCCTAGGTCTCGACAGCAGCGCGAAATTTTAAAATACACATGACTCTGGATTTTTCCGAATTTTCCGCTGCAAAACACTAAACGCACCAGTAATTTGGAGTTCCGCGTAGTGGTCGAGATCTAGTGGACAAAATGGGTCGATTCCAGCGCCTTCCAGTCTCATTAAAAAGTGTGAAACATTCTTGATGTTTGTAGGATGGCGGCCAGTTACGGCCCGGTCCGATCCACACCTGGGACACGAACCGCACCACGGATAGCGAGGCTTCAGAGGTGGTTTTTCGATACCTTTAAAGCAAATGTGTTATGATTAAATGATTTTTTGAAAGCTAGGCAAATTTTTGTACCTATTGATGCATTGACCAACTTAGGTCGAAATGCTGACAAGCCGTGGTAGGACCCGTGGTCGTGTCGATGCCCACCCAGCCCAACGCCAAGGCCATTCCGGTGAGTTTTTTGGTGTGGATTGGTCTGATTTTCCTTATTTTTGGAGCTTTCGTTTTCCCCCACGCACTCACTCATTTCCGCTTCTCCTCAACAGGCTTGTGCTCCAGACAAATTCTAAGGCCTTTTGAAAATTTTGCGAATGCTAAAACAATTTTTTCAAAACCGAAACCTTTTAGCAAATTCAATAGAATCAGTTATGCTTATCCTTAGAGGACTAAACCAATTACAACGATCAAAAATAAGTATAGTTTCCTGATTCGAAAAATTCAGAAGACGACACGCTCGACCTGTCAGACTGGTCGATGACCGTGACGGCGTGTAAGTCTTGGTCGATCGAATCTTTGCACACCGATCTGTTCCGTTACGCTCCAAAATACACCGTGTGTGTGCTTTTGCTGTGAACACTCGAAACAACATTTTGGCCATCTGAGACATTAAAAAAACCCGAATCGCATCCATGGAAGACTAGAAATAATTTGTGTATTCGCTTAGTCAGCTCAAAATAGCGCAAGATCTTGCTCCCTCTCTCGCTCTCTCTCGCTCTCTCTCTCTATCTCTCGCGCTCTCTCACAATCTCTCTCTTCTCACGCTCTCTCTCCCTCTCTCTCCTCACGCTCTCTCTCTCGCTTTCTTTCCCTTCTCTTTAGTTCCCTAACCGGCACCTTGTGAACTTGTTTTTCCCGTTTCCGAGAATATACATGTTAATCCCGTTCAATTCCAGCCGACGCAGCCCCCCTCAGCCACCAATCTCCACCCATCGGCCGTTCCGCCTTCAGCAAGCCACAAGGCCCGGCTGGGCCTTCCGCTCAACAACCTGGACACGCACACAACATCTACATCACGCCGTTGACACAGACGGCCGAGGAAGCCAGGCAGAATGCTAGGTAGGCTGACAGAGATTCTTTGAGGAATTAGAGGGGATGGAGGGGGCAGGCTAGCAGAGATTCTTTGAGGAAATGGAGGGGATGGAGGGGGCAGGCTAGCAGAGATTCTTTTGAGGAATTGGAGGGCATGGAGGGGACAGGCTAGCAGAGATTCTTTGAGGAATTGGAGGGGATGGAGGGGGCAGGCTAGCAGAGATTCTTTGAGGAAATGGAGGGGATGGAGGGGGCAGGCTAGCAGAGATTCTTTGAGGAATTGGAGGGCATGGAGGGGACAGGCTAGCAGAGATTCTTTGAGGAATTGGAGGGGATGGAGGGGGCAGGCTAGCAGAGATTCTTTGAGGAATTGGAGGGGATGGAGGGGACAGGCTAGCAGAGATTCTTTGAGGAAGGTTACGTCCTTTTTTACAGCCGCACTTCCCGTGAGCCGTCTCACGACACCCGAAATGTGCGTGAAACCGAGGCCGAGCTGGAGACGCAGACCAAGGGACCACCTGTAGTGAGGACTACTGTAGAAGGAAAGCTACGAATGGAGAAGATTGTCGGCGCCGACCTGATCACTGTCGATAGCTGTGTGTCGTCGGCATGGACCGTGAGGGATACCGTAACCCAGTACAAGGTAAGAGGAATTTTTAGTGCTACGACATCTTGCAGAAATTCTTAGAGTGGACTTTACAACCAATTTTTAAGATCAAAACGACGATCGGGAAGCGTAGCCTGCTCATCGAAGAGGGCAAGGAGTCCAAGTACCGTATCACTCTCATCGAAAATGGCGAGACAAAAGCTGAACGCGAGGCTACCCTGGACGTTCCCAATGGAGAGGTGGGCAAAATCAGGGGCAATCGAGCAGAGATTCTTTGTGGAATTGGAGGGGATGGAGGGGCAGGCCAGCAGAGAGTCTTTGAGAAATTAGAGATGATGCGGGATGCTAGCAGAGATTATCCGCGAAAATCAATTCTTTTCAGCAAAAGAAAGACTACCTGACCGAGGTCTCGAAACAACTCCTCGCCGACCTCTCCGCCCTGGACGATGATCGCACCACAGCGCTCACCCATGTCGAGATCGAAGTCGTCGAAGACGTGACGAACATCCTAAAGACGTACGTCATCGGCGAGACGGCCGACGAGTTCTACGGACAGGTAATCAAGGATTATTTGATTTTAAACGATTTTTGCTATTTACGGTTTCAAAATCTCCAAAATATAAAATAATTTTTCATAAATTTTTGGACAAATGATTTTTCAGAATTTTATAATTTTTGATAGCTTTTTTGTATCTCAAAACTGTGTAAAAATGATATAAAATAGTTTATATTTCGTTATGGCCGTCCAGAACTACCGGCAAAAAATTTCCTCCGCCCGCTAGCAGTCCAGTACCTTCCAGGTGCCCGCCATCGAGACGTACCACGTCGAGGACCACGCCGCCCAAACGCCATCCCCAATCGCCGTCGAGAAGTCGGAGCGCATCTACGTGGACAAGCTCGAGATCGAAGAGGGACCGCCGCCAAAGGCCGAGATCAAGCTCGAGAAGGAGGGAAGGCACTTCCAAGGGGACGAGGGATCCCTGAGGAGGCTGAGGAGGCATGATACCGATCAGACGGACGATGGAGCGTATAACAGGTACGTTACGGGCTTTTTAAAGGAGCTGAGAAGCGCGAAATTCGACCCCTCCCGTCCACTAGGTCTCGACAGCGACAGAAACCGCAAAAATAGAGTTTAAAAAGTTTCTTAAATGTAATTTTTTGCTTTTCTTTGCAGGTTTTGCCTGGTTTTTTACAGCTGTCGAGACCTAGCCGAGGCTAGGCGTCCATTTTCGGGCTTATTATCACCTTTAAAGGGACTAGAAACGCAAAAGGGCTGACCTGCTGATTTTGCCCAAGTAGTTCCTTTAAAAATCTGGCCGAAATACATTTTTGCGCAATTTTTCGGAATTTTTTTTTGTGGTTTGTTGACTATTAAGTCCCTTTAAAACGCTGAGATGATTTCCTCCAAAAAATTCTTGTTATTGTCGAAAATTTAATTTCATGATTTCAATTCGAAAATGGTTCTGGTGTATTAGCGGGGGGGGCATTTTTTTGTTTTGCGCGCCAATACCTACTATTAAAAATTGATAATATTATTAATCAATATCAGTAGTTGTTAATTGCTAAGAACTATTAAAAGATATCAAAAAATGTCGAAAATTTAAAAATGATCTTTTTGGGCCATTTATTACGAATTTTTGAAAAAATCCATAAATTCTTGAATTTTTTATGGCCCTTTGGTATCTAAAAATAGTTTAAACTCGTATAAAAATTATCTATTGTTGGGCCGTAGGGAATCAATGGAAAATTTTTCGTATTTGCGTTAGATTCTGCAACCCCCCCCCCGTTAACGGTCCAGTACCGTGCAAATCCTACTTTTCAGGGTGCGTTGCGCGAACGTGTTTGCCGACTGTGACCTGACGCGCCGTGAAGATACCTCGGATCTGACTGTTCGCTATGCCCTCCCTCTCATCCACCTCATCCCATTCACCCTCCGCCATGAGAGAAGAGAAAGAAGACTCGACAGAGCCAGGGTGGACATTAATGCGCCTGGCAATAATTATCAGCAACAAGTCAACGTCGTCCAGGCACACAGGTCAGTTTTTGATTCCTGAAGAAATTTTTGCTAGGTTTTAAGGTAGAAATTGGGTACCGAAAGATCCGGCCTCTAGTTCGAAATAAATAGGATTTTTTTACTAGCTATCAGCCTTGAAATCTATAATCATCCCTTCTAGCTTCCCCTGTTCAAAAAATTCAATTTTTTGAAACTACAAGCCTTCTGATCCCTAAAGATCTCTGCTAGCTTACCTCCAGCTCCTGCAAATCTGTTCCTTTGCCCACCCCTTTAAAACCAATCCATAGATCGAAATTTGACTAGCAAGCGCCTTTAAAACAATCAATGGCGATGTTTTTAAAACAATTCCAAAAATTGCCTTTTAAGGCAATTCTTGGCCCGAGTTTTGACTTCCCAATCCCTTTAAAGCAATCCGTATCTCGAAATTTGACTGCCAAATCCCTTTAAAGCATTCAATAACTCGAAATTTGACTTGGAATTGCCTTTAAAAGCAAATCCTTAGCATCGATTTTGACTTGCCAATCCCTTTAAAATCATCAAATACTTCAATGTTTGCAGATACGAAGAAGAGGAGGAGGAGCAAGAGCCGGAAGTGCTGCGAGGGGAGGGCCACCTCCAACTCCAACAAGCCGGCCAGCAACTCGTCGAGGAGCAGAATTGGCAGAAAGTGACCCAAGTGGTCCAGGAGAAGAGACAGGGAAGGATATTTGACGAGGAGGAAGCGGAAGAAGTGGTTGAAGTCATCAGACAAGCAGAACATCCAAGGGAACACAGGCCAAAGTTCACGGAAACCGAAGCGGAAGGAGGACAATATTCCATGCAACAGGATGGCATCGAATTGAAGGTCGGTGGGGGCTAAAGGAAATGGGATGGGAAGTGCGGGGATCGACTAGGTCTAGAAAGCTACGTGTTCATTTTGCCGTTTTCTGGCCCCTTTAACGAGCCTGACCTCGGCGCCCGACGCCGATTAAAATCACTTTCTCCCTCGATCTCACTCTCTCGATCTCTCTCCCTCTTTCTCTCTGTCTCTCTCTCTTTCTCCCTACCACCCTCTCACTGTTTGTCTCTCTCACGTGATGTCTCTATCACTTGGTATCTCTATCACTCGCGGTCCATCACTCTCTCCCCCCCCTCTCTCTCTCTCTCTCTCTCTCTCTCTCTCTCTCTGTCTCTCTGTCTCCCCCTGTCTCTCCCTCTGTCTCTCCGTTCTCGCTCTGTATCGCGCTCGCTCGCTCGCTCTCTCTCTCTCTCTCTCTCTCTCTCTCTCTCTCTCTCGCTCTCTCGCTCTCTCCTTCTCTAGCTATACGCAAAGCAAAGGTTTCTAAAGGAAGCGTGACAGCCGCTAACCCTAAAATTTGAACCAGTTAAATGTTTCCAGGGCGCCAAGCGTATCCGAAAAGTCCAACGCTTCGAGTCGGACTCCTCCGAAGAGTGGAATGGCGGCTCGCCCACCCTCGTCGACCTCACCAAGAAGGAGTCCCACTCCATCTTCGAGCTCACCGTTGAGATCTCCAACGATGCGCAGCCGCTTGAATTCCAGGTAGTGTACGCTTAGGCTTATGAGGCTTAGGTTAAGGCTTAGACTTGGCTTAGTCTTCGGTTAAGCTTGGCTTTTTGCTCGGCATTGGCTGAGGCTTGGGCTTAGGCTTAGACTTAGCTCAGGCTAATGCTTAGCTTAGGCTTACCTTGGGCTTGGCTTGGACTTGGTTTAGGCTTAGCTTAAGCTTAGCTTCGGCTTGGGCTCAGGTTTAGGCTTAGGTTTGCTGAGGCTTAGCTTAGGTTTAGCGTAGGCTTAGCCTAAGCTCAGGCTTATCCTACCGTACCTAAAACGATCCAATATTTTAGATAAAACGCGCGGAGCGCAAGCGTGAGACGATCAACCTGATGACATCCCTCTCCAAATTTGCATGCGAATCCGAAGACACCTCCCGAATCTGGGGCTCGAAGCAAAAAGAGCAACTCGCCTACCGCACCCGAGAACAGGGAGAAGAACACGCAACTGCTGTCGTGTACCTCCAGAAGAGACCGGGGCTCAATGACCAGGGATGCGATGGGGTGGCCAGGACACCGAATAGGGCCCAAGCCCAGATGGCCGCGTCGGCATTCCAGGTATGGTGGATCTGGGGCACGAAATACGGATCGTGGATTTTCTAATTTTCACAGTTAGCAAAATTGATTTGTACCGTATTTCTGCTAAACGCCAAATTTCAGGAGCGCTCATGGTCTTCTACACTCTCCCTCTCCCGGGCTAGCCGAGCCGAAAATGCCCAAAAGACGGTTACTGCGGCTAACAAGGACGGTGGAATTACATCACAGGTGAGAGGAGGTTTTGGAGTCGAACTCGTTCGGAATCGACGCGTACACCATGCTGCGTTGGTCTCGTGCGTTCCGCAGTTGCGGCGCGGGTCGCGGTCACGTTGCGTGTCGCGACAGTTGGCGTTTGGTGGCTTCTCGCGAGCACGTGGCGTATCGTGTCGCGAGCACCTTCCCTCTCGAGAAGCGTCTAGCGCTTTTCCCGTCGTAGCGCGTTCCGTATCGCGGTCGCGTTGCGTGTCGCGGTATGACGTCGCCTGGTCGCGTGGCGCCTAGTGCTTGGCGTGTCGCGTTGGCGTCGAGCGTGACGGCTAAGATGCGTTTCGCGATGACATCATGACTTGCGCGGTGACGTCGCGATAACGTTGCATGACATGCGTGCGTTCTGCGCTGCGTCTCGCGGCGCGTAGCGTCTAGCGGTCGCGTTGCCCCTCTCGCGAGTCACGGTCGTGTTGCATCTCGGGCGTGTGGCCAGCGCGCCGCTTCGCGGCCGCGTTTTGTCCCGCGTACCCAGCCAAATTCAAAGATGAAAAGCTGAACTCCTGCTATGCTTTCAACAGGTCGCTAAAACGCAACTTTTCCAGGTAGCCGAATACCGGCACGCCGAGGAGTCCTGCGCGGTGGTGATGAAAAACACTGGCACCCTCCAAGCCCAAACCCAAGGCCAATTCGTCGACAACGTCACAGGTTGGCATTTTGCCATGTGTCTATCGCCTTTCGTAGTTTTTGCAGGTCCCCATCCGCTAGAGATTTTATTACTCATAGATTTATCGTATTTTTCGTTCGTTTTTCGGATGCCGGGGCCGGGTCGGGTTGCGGGTTTTTAGGCTATTTTTCTTGAAATTTGCATCTTTATGTAGATTTTACTAAATAGATTTTTAAATACTTTTGAAAACAGATTGAAACCGGGAATTTTACAAAATTTACATTTCTTTCTTGTTTGCTATTTTCTCGGTTTGTAAAATATAATTTTCAAACTTTTCTTGATTTCCAAAATTTACTGTAATTTAAATAGAGTAGAATCTTAAGATACAGTTGAATAAAAAATACAATTAAATCCCTGAAAACCCGCAGCCTGGCCTTTAAAAATTATTTCCGACGAGAGCAAATTTGCATTTTTTTCGCTGGTTTAAACTAATAAAATCGCGGACATTTTCTGGAACAAAATCGTTGAGTTTTCGCTTTACAACATTTACAATTTGAAAGAATAATCATAAATAAAAAAATTTATGCAATTTTGCTCTCTCAAACATTCAATTTATCGATTGGTTCTATTTATTTTATAGTCATTTCCTTATTTTTCAATATCTATTCTTAATTTTATTTTCGGTTTTTCGGGTGGGAAACTCTAAATATACAGTATATGTACAGTGTACGGTATACACCTATCGACCGGGTATGTCGATGTTCTCACCGCTTTTTTCACGGGCACCATCTTTTGCACGGGCAGCGTATCGTCACGGAATTTCACCAAAAATCACCACAAATTCTCTACCCAATAATTTTTAACAATTCTTGACGAGAGCATTAATGGGAGGTTTTAAAGGGACTGGAATATTTTTGGCCTACTGTCATTTTGGTATGAAATTTTGTGCTTATTTCGGTTTTAAAAATTAAATCTACAGCATTTATAAATTTAAAAATTTCGTTTCACGTGGTAATGTTTGGCCTACAATTATCATTTTCTATTAAAACTGATTTTTTACATGTCGAAAATGCTATTTTTTATTTTTGTATTTTTTAAAATGCTAAAATTGTTTTATTTTGGTTGGAAAAATCCTTATTGCTCTCTTTAATGCAAATATCAAGAATGAAGATACACCAGAGTTATAATGAATTTTAACTATTGACCAGGGTTGAAAAGCCGCTTCGCGACTTTTCAACCCTGGAGCCGCCTAACTCCCATAGTATTCTTCGCTCTGCATAATTCGTCCGAACTGCGATGAGAAATACTGAGAAGTGCTCCCTCTCTCCCATTAAATAGACTATCGCCACTTCCGGCGTATGCTAATTATTTTCTAACAAAGAGGCTGCCCGATTTTTCAACAAAAACTTAATTTTAACGTCGAAAATAGCGTAAAGTGCAAAATCTGGTATGCGTGCAGTCATCTCGGCGTCATTACGCATCTAATGGCGTATCGTACGTAGCTTCAAAATCTTCCCCTCTTGAGTTATTCTCAGGACACGGTGACGGAAGTTGCATGCAAATGCACACTGACACACAAACACTATTTTTTTATATATAGTAGGATTACTAAACTTTTAAATTAATCGATTTTTTTGAAAAATTAAGTTGAGCTTTTTAAAAAGTTTTAAGTTCTTCTTAAGTTAGGTTGTTCAAATTTTTGAAGATTTTAAAAATTCAGATTAAACTCCTAAGAATTTTTCGTAATATTAAAATTTTCACACATTATTTGTTGTGGCCGGCACATGTGGCCCGTTTAAAACCCCCCAAAAATGCTCAAAAACGTGCCAAAAAAAACCCCCAACCACCTAAGCGCATGGTTGTGTTGTGTCTGTGTCGCAAAAACCTCACTAACCCATCTTTGGCCGAAATCTACAAAAAAAAAACCCCAAAAAAACCCCGCAAAAATGACAAATAGCCTACCGTACCCCACGTTGTATCTATAGACGCCGGGCAGCAGCAGCAGCAGGCACAGCAGAGCAGCTGCAGCGGCGGCGGCGTCGGCGGGACGGCCGAGGTGTTCGTGGCGCGTAGCTTACAGAATTACCGTACACTACTGCCCAACCAGGGCCAAGCCGACTACACGGCACGCCTATCCACGTTCAGGGCATCGCATTTCCATCTGAAGACGGCGTCGTCGGGACAGGAATGCTGGGAGGAGAGCCTCCAGCAGGAGGTCAAACTCCGCAAGAAGGAGTCCGAGGCGCAGATCACGGTTTTCTACGTGTTGCGCAGAGTTTGGGGCAATTACCAGCACGCCTTGATGAAGTTGGGCTCCAGAATTGAGAAGCGTGAGACGGCGACGCAGATGGACGCCGCGCAGCGGTCGGCGGTTGAGGTTAGATCTCAGGAGACGCTGACCATGGCGAAGTCGACGGCCGATCAGATGACGTACATGGAAAGCTCTAGAAAATCGATGGAGAGGAGCACGATGACGGAGGAAGAAGCTAGAAAATCAACTACAGACCAGATGACGTCGATGGAACAGAAGAATTTCGCTTCTCGAGAAACCTGGATGGACGTGCAGAAGACGTCGGACCAGATGACGTACATGGAAGAGTCTAAAAAATCTGTAGATAGAACGGCGATGACTGAAGAAGCCAGAAGATCAACTACAGAGCAGATGACGTCGATGGAACAGAAGAACTGGATGAGCCAAGCGACCGGGATGGACTCCTTGCAGACGTCGGACCAGATGACGTCGATGGAATCGAAGAATTTTGCCTCCCAGCAGACCTGGACCGAAGCGAAATCAACTACAGATCAGATGACGTACATGGAAGATTCGAGAAAATCGATGGACAGAACGACGATGACGGAAGAAGCCAGAAGATCAACTACAGACCAGATGACGTACATGGAAGAATCGAGAAAATCAGTGGATCGCCAGACGATGACGGAAGAGCAAAGAAGCCGTCGTGAAGCTTCGACGCAGATGGATCATTGCGACACGCGAAAATCTGTAGATCGCCAAACGATGACCGACGACGTCTTCGACAAGTTCGACCAATCTACCCAAATTCAGGAGAAAATCGAAGAGAAATCGGCGAGGAGCCAGCAGACTGCGTTTGAAGAGTGGAGAAGCCGATCCGAGACCCGAAGCTATGCTTCGTACGAATCGGACGAGTATGAGATGCGAGCCACCTCTACGCACGTAGTCACAGGTACGCAGCAATTTTTTAAGTTTTTAAAGGTTACCTGTATCTTTGGAATTTTTACTATTATCGATCGGCTACGCTGGGATACAGATTACACCCCGGATTTTGGTGTCTCCCCTGTTTTTTCGTTCATTTTTACCTGTAAAGCTACGCGACACTCCTGTGTACGCCTGGCTAGTTGCGATTACGGCACTTTAAAGGGACGTGGAAGTGAGGGCAATCCATTTTTTTTGTGGAATTTTACAGGGCTTCAACATTTTTGCACCCTGCTAATTGTCTGGAGCATGAAAAGCTAATTTTACAAAAATTTAGAACAATTTTGTTAAAAGCCCAAAGCTTTTTCGAACTTCTTAGTACAAGGAAATACAGAAAAGTCGAAAAATCCATAAAATTAGATTTTTAGAGAACTTCAGGTGCCCTTTAAAATATTTCCAAACTCCGCAAGAAACCCTGAAAACGCACAAAACCGGGGTGTAGGGAGTACTCCCGCGTAGTCGATCGACTCCCCCGAAAAACGTTGGGTCTCGCTCTCGGTGGGCTCTTTTTCTCTCGCTCACGCTATCTGCACCACCCTTATTGGATTTCTGGGGGCAATTTTCGGGATTACCTTCGGCCTAGGCTTGGCTTAGGCTTAGGCTCAGGCTCAAGCTTAGCGTAGGCTTAGCTTGGGCTTAGGCTTAGGATTACTGTAATCGCACCACACTACAGCACCCCCAAATACCGTACCCCCACTGTCAGGCAGTCGCATGGCCGTCTTTGAGGCCATTGAGGAGAGCGGGGAGGTGGAAGGCACCCGGACGGCCATCACTTTCCTAAGGGAAGTCTGCTAGCTAGCCCGCCGTTTACTGTAGCTTATTACTGTAGCGTTCAGAATACGGTAGCCGTAGCGAGTACGTCAGCGTACTATGCCGCACAGGGGTGTAATTCGGAGTCTCTCAATGCGAAGAGCCGAATTTCGGTCGCACTCCTGAATCCCACCATACGGCCCGGTGTACGGTAACGTACCATGCCGTACTGAGTACGGTGTCGTACGATGCCGTACTGCATATGGTGGCGTACGTTATACACCGTAAATAGGGCGTCATTCAGAATTCAGAAACTAAGGAAATCCCCCTCGAAAATGCGATAAATCGATGGATTCGGAACTACACCACTGTACGGTAGCGTATTGCTGCGTACTCTAGCCCCACCCCTTTCCCCCAATCACCCCCACACTCTTACTCTGCACCACCGAGGGTCCGCTGGGCGCCTATTGACGGTTTTCATGGATTTTTAATGTTTTAGCATTTTCCTGAATTTCCAAAACTTTTTAAAGGCCCATTGAAGGGAAAGTTGTTGAAGTCAACTCTAAAAAGCTAGAAAATGAATTTAACATGAGTCCTAACTTCTCAAAAATGACAAATCCCCGTCAATAGTCACCCCTTGGACCCTCGCAAAAATTCTGAATTCTTTCGATTTCACTCATCCCCCATTTTTCACACCCTCAAAAACGAGCACCCCACTTGGACTCTCGACCACGACTACGAAACGATACCCCTGGAATCTCCCTGACTCGGCGGCGAGGCGATTATCGGAAATTACACTTACCGTAAGCAAAAACTATGAAATAATGCACACTATGCGAAATCACAAAAACGAAAAGCGAATTTGCGTCTCAAAAATCCACTTCGCCGCATTGTAAAAACGAGAATACTATTCTAAAAGGCTATGCTGAATTTTGTAACAATCTGCGAATTGGAGTTTAAAACGCTACGTTGCTGCAAAAATACGACCTACAGCTAAATTCGAAAAACCTTCTGTTTTTCATGCTAATTTGCAGTGAAAAATCAAAAAATTTTATAAACTTAAAATTGTTTATAAAATTCGAAGGCCTGCAGTAATTCTTGACGTCATTTTCTAGCCAAAAACGAATTCACAGCTAATTTGCCGACGAAATTCTACAATGCAAAATTTTTCATGACAAAAATGCACCTTAGCGATTCCAATTTCGATAAAAAAAACGCAAAAATGCCAAAATTCAACCAATTACCGTAATCGCCGCGCCCATCCATGCCGTAGACACCCTAGAAAATGGCATATTTTAATTTCTTGGCTGTTAGCTGGGGGCAAAAAACACCCCCATATCAATTCTGCATGGCCACGGAACGCTCAAATGGGTTCATTCTAAAAAACGCGCATAATTTTATGCAAATAGAATAAATACAAAAATAATAAATACCCGAAAATGCATTCCAGCACTCTCCACTGAACACCTGAAAATGCACGGAAAATTGCAAAATTCAAATATCCAAGAAACCAAAGACACGGGCATTAGCGCGTCGGCGGATACGGTATTTTACGAGGACACGCGACCAGATGCTGATTTGCATATGGGGGATCAGCTAAAGGGCGCCAATTGGAGCCGAGCGGAATTTTCCGGAAGTTACGTCCAGAAAAGGGGCATTTTGACGCAGAGCTTCTCGCTTGATTTGCACCCGGAAGCTGTTCAAAAGCCCGTCAAGTCCAGCAAGTCCGAAACCGCAATTTGGAGCTCGGCGGAATCGATTTTCCGGGACTCCGAAGAGCCGGAAGTGGCCGGGCAGACGCTCAAGATTTCTGAGAGTCTATATCGACTCTTGGATTCGAAGGAAACAAGCGTAACTGGGGCTGGAGATGCTCAAATTGCCCTCGATTCTACGTATCGTCAAGTTGAAACAGTTCAAGCTGATTCTGCCGGATTCCGGGCTTTCCAAGCTGCAGCAAATCAAGATAAGGTCGAGAAACGCATCGAATCCAAACCAATTAGCGTGGACTCGGCAAGCCATCAAGTTCAAGCAGTTCAGCCGGAAATGACAAAATTGCCGACTTCAGAAAACGCCGAAAATGTTATCAAAACAACTACCGAAGCCGTAACAACGTTCCAGATCTCAGGAAACGTAGATGAACATGAACAGCTACCAGTCGTCGAATCTACAACTCGGATTTTTGAGCATTTGGCAGATCGCGAAACCCAAGGACAGCTAGAAGAAGCTGAAACGGGCGGAGATTTTCAAAGTCTGCGGGCTCTATCTATCGTCACCCGGCCCCAGCAGCTCTCCCCCGTCTTCGAGCAGGACAGCAGCTCCGACTCCGAATTGCACGCCAATGAGCAGCTAACAAAGATTTCTGATTCTCTTTCCGCCTTGCTACAAAGTACGGAGCACTCCGGGAAGTCCAGCCTCGAGCAGGCCAGAATTTTCAAGCAGACTTCGGAGATTCGAGAAGATGATGGCGCAAAAAGTGACGTCCCGGAAAGCCCTCAAACTTGGCTAGAGGCCAAAGGAGATTTTGAGTGGAAGGCTGTCGAAAAATCAGAAGAAAATGCCGACAATACGGTGGATTTGACGAAGGATGCGGAGATTCCGAATGACACTGTAATTACGGTGAAAACTCGGATTTCGGAGTCTCTCCGAATCCAAGCTACTGGGACCACTATCGAAAATGCAGCGAATTTCACGAATTTTGCCACGAATCCGGATGTTTCTGGTGAAACTGTGGCTACCGTACCCGAGCGTAATTTGGAGTCTCTCGGAATTCAAGCTACCGGGACTACTGTAGAAAATGCCGACACTGGCGCGAATGTATCGAAAAATTCTGAAGTTCCGAAAGACATGTCAATTACGATGGCCGAACGGAATTTGGAGTCTTGCGGAATTCAAGCCACTGGGACTACAGTAGAAAATGCAGAAAATGCAGCCGCTTTGCTGAAAAATCCAGAAATTCCATCCAAAACCTCCGCTACCGTAGCCCAAAGGAATTTGGAGTCTCTCGGAATTCGAGCTACTGGCACTTCGGTAGAAAATGCCGACACTGGCGCCAATATATCGAAAGATTCTGGATTTCCAGTTGGGACCTCGACTACAGTATCCGAGTGGAATTTGGAATCACTGGAAATCCAAACTACCGGCACTACGATAGAAAATACCGACACCGACAAGAATATATCAAAAGGCTCCGAGATTCCAGTTGGCGCCTTCACTACAGTAGTCGAGCGGAATCTGGAGTCTCTCGGAATTCGAGCTACTGGAACAACTGTCGAAAATGCCGACACCGACAAGAAAATATCGAAAGATTCGGGAATTCCCGTTGGGACCTCGGCTACAGTAGCCGAGCGGAATTTGGAGTCGCTTGGCATCCAAGCGGTTGGGACTACGGTAGAAAATACCGACACCGACAAGAATATATCAAAAGGCTCCGAGATTCCAGTTGGCGCCATCACTACAGTAGCCGAGCGGAATCTGGAGTCTCTCGGAATCCAAGCAACCGGGACTACTGTAGAAAATGCCGACACTGGCGCGAATGTATCGAAAAATTCTGAAGTTCCGAAAGACATGTCAATTACGATGGCCGAACGGAATTTGGAGTCTTGCGGAATTCAAGCGACTGGGACTACTGTGGAGAATGCCGAGACAAAGGCGAGTGTTTCGAAGACTTCTGAAGTTCCGAAAGTCACCGTCGTTACAGTAGCCGAGCGGATTTCCGAGTCTCTCGGAATCCGAGCTACTGGGACTACGGCACAAAATGCCGACACTGCCAAGAATATCTCGAAAGATGCGGAGATTCCGGCCGGAACCACGTCTACAGTATCCGTGCGAAATTTGGAATCACTGGGGATCCAAACTACCGGCACTACGGTAGAAAATACCGACACCGACAAGAATATATCGAAAGCTGCGAAGATTCCAGTTGGCACCACGACTACAGTAGCCGCGCGGAATTTGCAGTCTCTCGGAATTAAAGTCGCTGGAATTACTCTAGAAAATGCCGAAAACGTGGCCAATTTGCTAAATCCAGAAATCCTATCCGAAACCTCCGGTACAGTAGCCCAACGAAATTGGGAGTCTCTCGGAATTCGAGCTACTGGAACAACTGTCGAAAATGCCGACACCGACAAGAAAATATCGAAAGATTCGGGTATTCCCGTTGGGACCTCGGCTACAGTACCGGAGCGGAATTTGGAGTCTGTCGAAATTCAAGCTACTGGGACTACTGTCGAAAATGCCGACACAAAGGCGAGTGTCTCGAAGACTTCTGAAGTTCCGAAAGATACCGTCGTTACGGTAGCCCAACGGAATTCAGAATTTGTTGGAATTGAGGCTACTGGCGTTACTGTCGAAAATGCGGACACTGTCAAGTATCTATCGAAAGATTCGGGAATTCCCGTTGGGACCTCGGCCACAGTACCGGAGCGGAATTTGGAATCACTGGGAATCCAAACTACCGGCACTACGGTAGAAAATACCGACATCGACAAGAATATATCCAAAGGCTCCGAGATTCCAGTTGATGCCACGGCCACAGTAGCCGAGCGGAATTCGCAGTCGCATGGAATCCAAGCGGCTGGGACCACGGTAGAAAATGCCGAAAATATAGCCGATTTTGCAAAAGATGCCGACACTCCCGCCGGCACCACAGCTACTTTGCTCGAACGTAACGTGGAGTCACTTGGAATCCAAGCCACTGGGACTACGATAGAAAATACCGGCACACAAGCGACTGTATCGAAGGATTTTGAAGGTCCAAGAGACACTGTAGTTACGATGCTCAAGCAGAATTTGGAGTCTTGCGGAATCCGAGCTACTGGGATTACGCTGGAAAATGCCGAAAACGAGGTTGATCTAGCTAAAAATACCGATACTTTAGCCGAAACTTCCGCTACAGTCCTCGAGAGTAACGTGGAATCACTCGGAATTCAGGCGTCTCAGATTTCTGCTACGACTTCTCAGAATTCCACCCATCTCATGGAAATCCAATCAAAACCCGAACAAGCCGAACAAGTCGGCCAAGCCCGAAAACTGTCCCGCCAATTCTCCGTCGACTTCTCGGGTCGGGCGGCTGTAGATGAACAAAAGTCGAGCGATTTCGAGTTTTCTGGCCTAAAAGAAGCTGAAGAAGAGGTCTCCGATCTTGTCCTAGCCAAGCGGCGACTTCAAGAAGTGCTACGAACCAAATCGATTGTTGAGGAGGTGATCACCGTGGAAAATGAGATCTGGGACGACCGAAAAATGGAGGAGACCCAAGAAATCTCCGGACTTCTCCCTGAGAAACCGGCGGTAGCCGCTCAAATTGATGCGCAAGAGCCGAGCGACTCGATCTGTCAGCTAGAGGTTCGGACAAAGCTCGCAGACGCCGAAAAACTTGAGCATCTACAGCCGGATCCAGAGCACGAAAAACTTGGCTCGACCTTAAAAGCCACCCAGGATTCTAGCGTGGCCATCGACTCCGAGGAGTTCAGAATGTCAGCATCAGAAGCTGCAAAAACTGAGCTTTCGGTTGAACTGCTCGAGAAGGTGGAATCTAGCAAGAAAATTGAAGAACTAAGGAAATTCTCGAATTTCGAAAAACCGGAAGTCGAGCCGGAACATTCCGAGAAGTTCCTAAGCTCCACGGAAAAGCTCGAACTTGCCGAAAAACTGCGCGAAAAATCGATTGAAGCCACCGGACTCACGATCGCCTTCTTGGAGCTAAGCCCGCCAAGCCAAGCCGGTGAAGCTGGACAGCTCTTTGAAGCTCAACACCGGGTTTCCGAAGATTTCCAAGCGGTACAAACTAGCGTGGAAACTTGTGAAGTTGAGGCGAAGATTAAAAACGCCAAAGAAGCAACGGATTTAGCCGATTACGCCATGAAACTCGTTGCAGTCGACGTAGCCAGCTTGACGTGCCGGGCTTCGTTTACAAGCCAAGCCCAAAAAAGCGCGGATTTTGAGGTCTACGATGGTGCCGAACAAGCAGCTGATCAAGGACTACAGGACACACCTATCGACAAAGTATCCCACTCGTTTCCGCAACCTAAAGAAGAGGAAACAACTCTGCTTTGCGGATCAAAGCTTGTAAATGAAGCCGCCCAGGCTCAGCTTCCAATTTCTGAAGCTCAAAAGCTAATCCTAGAAACGAAGCCGGCTAGCTTAGCACAAGTCGACCTTGCCGAAGACGTTGCAGCAAAAATCGAAGCAACTTCAAGCGTCGTTAAAAGTTTTTCGGAGTCTGAACGTCTAGAAACCGTCCGGCAATTCGGGGATGAAACGCTCGTCTTGGAGGAATCATTTCTGGGCCCAGATTCGGAGGGTGAAGCTGCGACTTTTGGACTTCGGACTACAAACATCAGCGAGGCTCTAAGCCAGCTTCTCGTTGAGCGAAAAGCCGAAAATTTGGCTTCGTCGATCGGCTTCGAAAACTTAAGCCGTCCTGGAGAAGCTCAGGAAGCAGCCGAAAAATTGATTTCTGAGCCGATGAAGCTTGAAGCCAAGCTGGCAATGCCGGCGGCTTCTGAAGCCGCCAGGCAAGTTGGTGAGCAGCTTTTGGCAGACGAACAAACAGCTCAAGTTCAAGCTGTTCAGTCTGAGCTTCAACAAGCGAAGCAAGCCCTTAATGCCCAGGCTTCGAAAAATGAAGTCCTGGAAAAGCTTGAGCATCTCCAGAAACTTGACGAAGCCGACGAAGCGGCCAAGCTGCTTAGTGCCCAAAACGAAGCCCGTGAAGCCATGCAAATTAGGGAGGCTTCCGAAGAGAATTGCTCGGTGTTCATCGATTCCAAGCTGGAAAATGACAGATTTTCTCGTGTTTTCGAAGATTCCAAGCTCGAGCTTGCTAAGCTGACTTCGTTGGCTTCAGAAACTGAATATTTGGAAATTTCTCCTAATTTGCATATTACAGAAAATGCCGAAAATGCCGACAAATTAATTACCGTGCCCGCTTCAACGAGCGCAATGTCCAAATTCTCAATAGAAAATGCCGAAAAAATTCTAGTAATCGAAAAACGATCCGAAACTACCAAATACAACGCCGATACCGTACGCGCAGATGCAAATTACTCAATTACGCCACCAAAAGAATTCAATGAATTTTCAAACGAAACCGCAACTTTACAAACCTCAAACCAACAAATTTCACAACCAATTTCCCAATTTTCCAGCACCCAAAAATCAATCGATATTCCACAAAATTTGGGTGAAAATTTGGATACTCAAACCCCTCAATTTATGCAAATTTCGCGAGATTTAGCCTTCGACACCGTACCCGACTCTGGCGAGACCGAAAAAGTTGCCCAAATTTTGCCGGAAACCGATACGGTAGCCGCCCAATTTTCCGATAGAGTTCAAGCAGTTCAATCGAGCTTTTCGGGCCCCGATTTGAATCCGGAAAATACAATTATGACAATTGCTGAGACCGAAAAAATTGGGGACATTTTGAAAATTGCAGAATCCACGGCGGAGACGAGCCAATTGGAGGTTAGGACTGGAAATCGAGAAGAAGCGGCTAGTATGCTAATTTCTGAACCGACCACCGTAACCCAAGCCCTTCAAACCCAAGCTTCAAAGGATGAAGCCCTCCTTGAAGTTGTTGACCTTCAAGCTCAAGCTGTCCAAGGTCAGCAACAACGCATCTTTGCGGAACTGAACGCCTTGGCGACGAGCCAGTGCTTGAAAATTGAAGCCCAAGCTTCGGAAGCTTCGCTAAGCCAAGCTCAACAAGCCCAAGCGGCTTCGAAAGCTTTGCCGACTTCGGAAACGCTAAGCCAAGCCAAAAACCTCGTCGCGCAACGCGAGGCTACTATCGACAGCCCTGTAGCTTTCGGAGTCTTAGCCCCAAAACATGAGGAATCTGCTGACAAATCGATAAACCTGACATCGAGTCAGAAAATCGAGGAATTAGCAAATTTCCAAGCTTCTCAAGAAGTTCAAGCTACATTGGCTTCGAATTTGGGCTCAAAAACTGAAGCGGAAAATGCCGAAAAATCGATCAAAATCAGGGAAGCCGGAAAAACGGAGCTTACCGGACTTCAGGCTCAAGGATTTGAGGCCAAAGACGTTGATGCGGAGCTACACGGAACTCCGGAGGTACGCCAGGATGCGGTAATCCGGTCAATTCCGGAAAAACCATCCCTACAAGCCGTTTTTACCGAAAAGGAACCGAAAAGTGAAGAGATTTTCACGATTTTGGATACGGTAGCGAGAGCGGAAAATGCGGAATCGGTACTTCCGGAATCCGGAAAAATCGGAGAAACCGTGAACCTTGCTGCCAAGGCTCCAGTTGTTGAACAAGCCCAAACTACGCAGAATTTTGAGCGGAACCCAGCGGAAACTACCGTACTCTCTGCGCCGGAAATCGAAAAAATCGGGATTTCCAAAAATTTGGGAATTTCCGAGGCGGCGCAATCGATTACACTAGGAAAAGAAGCGACACTTGATTCCGCTGCTGCCTTATTGACGGCAGAGGAGGCGGAGTACGCGATTGTACAAACCACAGAGCGCCTACAGGCTACAACCGGACTCCAGCAGAACTACGGTAGAATCGAGCCCCCCAGAGAGCAAGCCGAACTCGCCGAACAAGTGGTGCAGGAGAAGCGCAGCCTGAAAAGCAAGCTTCTGACAAAGTCGGCTTCATTTTCGGGGCAACAGCTAGACGAGGAGCTCGTTAAATTGACGAAATCGGAATTTGCTTTCAGAATTTTGACCTCAAAGCGAGGGGAATCGGTGGAGAGGGCCTTGAAATCGACTTCAGAAGCTTCGCTGACTTCATTGGTGGCTTTGGAGGCTCAAGAAAATGAAGCCAGGGCCGAGAAAATCGAGAGATTCGCGCGAAGTCGATCCGTGGCTTCGTTCCGAACACTTGCCGAAGCCTCTGAAGCCTATTCCGCAAGTTTCCTAAGTACGGAAAGGTTGTACGAGTCGGCGACGTGCTTGAGGAGATCGAGAAGCTTGGTGAGAGCTTCGGAAAATCGAAGCTTCAAAGCCCCAACTACCGTAAGCACGGAGCTTGAGCCAATTCTGAAGCGTAGTCCCTCGGAATCCACGGAAATCACGCAAAAATCGAGGTCGTCACAGCTATTCGAAGCCAGTCGAAGCTACAGTATCCAAAACCTGAGCTCCGAGCACAAAGTAGCTGCTCAACAAGGCCAACAAGGTCAGGCCGAGCGCTGCGGACGCGAAAAATCGAGGGATACGGTCGTTTTCAGGAGTCGGGAATCAAGCCAAGTCGGTTTTGACTTGAACCAGACGCTCAGAAAATCAAGAAAAATGGACGAAGAAGTGGAAGGAGTACAAATTACGCCTAGAAACGTTTACGCAACTCTGAAAACGAGATCCGCCTCCGTTACCTCCATCGATACGGAAGCCAGACTTTCCGGAAAACCACCAATTTCCGGCGTGAATTCGATCCGGAAAAGTGCCAGGAAGGAAAGTGCGGAAAGAGGAGTATCGGCTACGCGGGAGTCCTCTTTACAGGCTACCGTACGACTGGAGTCAGAGGGGCCGCGAGAAGCGGAAACCAAATTTGTCCGACGGATCCTTCAGAAATCGGCTTCGCTAGCTAGCTTCCGCGAGTCGTCAGTGGCTTCTGAAGATTACACTTCCGCTTTTATCACGACAATCGACGCGGACGCTGATGCGGCAATCCATTTCCGGTCCAGAAGTGAAGCCCGCGAAGCCAAGTCGCTAAATGTGCGAGCGGCTTCGGTCGAAAATCTTAAGCTCGACTACGCGGTGCACCAAACTACGCAAGAATCCGTCGAATTTTCGAAAAATTTGGTCGATTCTGAAGCTCTAACTTCAAGCTTCTCAAGCCAACAAGCCAAGCTTGCAGCCGAAATTGAAGCCAAGCCGACTGAAAGCCAAGCCACTGAAGCTAGCTTAGAATGTGGAAGCCAAGAAGGAGCTCGAGCTACCTTAAAGGAGCAGCGAAATGTCGAAGCCCAAGGGCTGGCCAGCTTTTCGAGACTGACCCCGAAAAAAGCCCAAGCTGAACAGGTGGACTGCTTGGTGACATTGAAGCCAAGCCAGGCTGAAAAGCTAACGCTTGAAGCTGCTCAACAAGCCGAGATTTCTGGAAGTCTTGAAGTAAAGAATAAAAATCTGCCCGTCTCCAGCACTGAGCTCACCAAAAAGCTGGAAACCCTTGAACGACTTGAAAAGCTTGGCATCGAGCTTCATGATGAAGCCGCTCAGAAACTGGTAGATCTATATGGACTAGAACAAGTGGATGAAGCCGCTGAAGCCAAAAGATCCGAGCCCAGCCGCGACTTCGCCAAGTTCAAAGCCACGCAACCCCAAGAGGAATCGGCTTACCTTTTCACCTCCACAGGCGAAGTTTTTGAAGCTCCTGGAAAGCTCTGTAACTTGAAAAACGAAGCCGAGCTTGGCTTAGGCTTACAAGCCGCCAAAAGTGAAGCCGTACTTCAGACTCAGGAGTTGAGCTCCAAAACTCAAGCTGAAGCCGCTCAAGTAGCTTTGGTCCAGCCCCAAAAAGATGAGACTACCTTCAAATTTGCGTACGACCAGGAAAGCACGCTCATCTCCATGGAGCGCGAGCATTTCCGCATGGCCGAGCAGGTCAAGCCGACCTCAGAGATAAGTCAAGTCGGCTTGGCCTTGAGAGAGCAAGGAGAGGAAGCCGCTAAACTTCTAGCAGTCGCTGGTCAGCTACAGCCTAAGCTACCCGAATCCGAAACAATTTCCAGCACGTTTGAAGTCAAGTCCAGCCAAACGCTGTCAAAAAACTGTTCAGCACCGGGCCAGGAAGCCACGGAATGCAAGTGTGATTTGGTGCGTAGCGTAGCACAGGAGATGGCGGTTAAAAGCCTGAAGAAACGAATCGGAGCTGAAGCAGAGCTCTCGACGTCAGCAGCGAGTTCATCAGTCTACTGTGAATTACATAATGTGGGCGTGGCCGATATGTTGAACGCCTCGAAGTCGTTGACGCAAGCTCGGGCTCAAAGTGAAGAGGCCAAAGTACAAGCTCCAAAAGAGGAGAGCGCCTATGGCTTCTGGAGCGTGACGGAGACGCTAGGGGCGGAGAAGCTGCTCAAGTCACCTATGAGATCCGTCGACTCGGTGTCGCTGGCCTCCTTGGCGTCGTCGGAGGAGACGTCGCTGGCCGAGGCGGTGTTGAACCGGCGGCCAAGCCTCGTGGTGGAAATTATGCTTCGAAGCCAGGCCCGTGAGGCCAGTGTGGCTTCGCTCGGGTTTGAGAGAGTCGAGTTTTTGAAGAAAATCGAGGAGCATCAAGTTCAGGGCGTTCATGTTGAGCGACTAGAAACTATAGAATCCGAATTTGAAGTAGGCAAATTTGACTTAGGGCCGCAAGAGGCAGAAAAACCCGAAATTGGTGTACAACTACACACTACAGAACCAAAGCCGCAAGAGGCCAAAGTACAAACCACAGAAATCAAGCCGCAAGAGGCACAATTACAAACTACAAGCTACGAATTTGAATCTGAAGTCGCCGAAGCCAAGCTGACTTCAGAATTCGAGCCGCAAGAGGCACACAAACGACAAACTACAACCGAAACGACGAACACCCAAGTGAGCGTGGCCAAGCTGTTCAGCCCCGCCCCCCAATCCGTGGCCACGCAAACCGTAGAAATTGACATGTCCCTCCTAGAAATCTTGGTAATCCCGAAAATTGCCTCCTCCACCTCCTTCTCGTCTTCATTAACCCAAAAAATCGAAACCTCGAAGCTTGAAGTGATTCTAGAAGAAGCCGCTGGACCTCGACTTCAGCAAGTTCATGAAGCCGAAGCCCAGACGGAGTTGACTTCATGTCACCTTGAAGCGAAGCTACTGAAGTCGCAGAGCTTTGCCTACAACTCTGAAGTGGCTGAAGTCACCCGACAACAGCAAGAAGTTCGGGCAAAGTCGGTTGAGCATCAGGCTACGGTGTTTGAGCTAAAACGACGCGATGAAGCAGTTCAGGCGAAGATCAACGAGAAGGTGACTGAAACCGAGAAATTGAGCACCACCGGCGCCGTTGAAGCTCAAGTCGCAGTAAGTCACGAGCTGCACGAGCTGCAAAAAGAGGAGCTCCTCCAGAAGATGTTCGCCTACCAGAATTTCGAGAAGCTTGAGCGCCAATTCTCGGCAGATGAACACACCTTCGACTCCCGGTTTTCCAGGGAGAGCTCGAGGAGTGAAACAGCGTTCACGGTAGATACTCAAGTTGAGGGCAGCGTCGAGCGCAACTTCAAGGAGGACACCACCAACAGCGCCGGGCTGTTCGGCAGGATTTTCCAAAAACATCCGGAATCTGGAGAGCAGGAGACGATCATCGACGAGATCAGGGTATTCCGCCAATTCCTGAGAACCCTGGCGGCCGTGAACATCTCCGCCTCGATCATCTCCGAGTTGACTAAACTGCCCGAGGCCGAGCAGTCCATCCACAACAAGCTCGTAGCTGAACTCCTTCGCCAGGAGCAGAAGTTCCAGATCGAAAACGTCCCCTCCGTAGAGAAATTCATCCAATCGTTCCGTCACAACCTGGAGGAGGTCGAAAAAACGCTTGCCGAGAAGGCGAAGGAGCACCTGGCCGAGTCGGTGGACGTCTACTCGGACCAGGCCAACTTCGCCGAGTACGAGACGGTGGTCGATGAGATGATGGCGGCACGAACATTCCGGGAGGCTACTATGGACTCTGGGTTTGCCTCATTCAAATCGCCGGCCGCCTCAGAAGCTTCGGCTGCGATAGCTTTACAAAAATCCGGGCTCGAGAAGACCGCCGAGTTCAAGAGTATCCTTGAAAATAGAGCATCTACCGATCGAACTTTTGGTGTAGATGACCAACAAGTTGGGGCTGTTCTGGCAAAATCTGAAGGGAAATCTGAGGAAGCCGAAAAATCGGTAGTTGAACATAGGCGAGATTCCGTAACCCGTAGTGTTTCGGAATTCCGGGAGGAAAAAGTCGACGTCTGCAACCTGTTCGGGCGGATGATTAAGAGAAAACCGGAAGTAGCAGAAGCCGAGAACATCCAAAAAACACCCCGCTTTTGGCAGGAAGAGCTCCAAAAACTTGCCGCAATTTTTGTGGCCTCTCAAAAGGATGTTCAACTCCAAAAAACCGCACAACTCGAGGGTGCGATTTGGAGCGCCCCGGAACGCCCCCACATGTGTTTCGAATTCCGTGCCCCGGCTAGCAAATGGGCGCAAACAAATGCACTCGATTACAGTGTAAATAATCCCTCCCAGGAGCTGGCCGCAGAAAAATCGATTCGTGGCAAAATCTTGCGAAAAACCGGAAAATTCGTGCGGTCAGTCGATTGGGCGGCCCGGGAATTGGACGCGAGCTGGGAGCAGGTGCTGAACGACATGGAGACCGAGTACAGGGCCCGCATCATCACCATCGAGCGGGAGGAGCTCCGGCTCAACATCTTGGAGCAGGTCAGCAAAGATTTTCCAGTACCGCTTCAAGGCGCCTTTAAAATGGGCCACGATCTGGATTTGGCTTCTAACATTGGCCTGACCAGCTTGAAGACGGAGTTCAGCTCCTTTGAAGAGAGCTCCAAACAGCTGGAGCTGAACTTGGCGAACGCCTTGGACGAGTTCGAGGCTGAGGGTACCCTGACGAGCTCGAGATATGAGAACCTGAAGCAAGATTTCCCAGAATTTTCTGCAGAAGAAATTCGAGCTGCTGTCCAACTCGTTCGGACGACAATTCCAAAACCTCGGTCATCTACCGACCACATTGTCCACATTGACACCACCCTGAAAAATGTGCTAGCCACAGTAGCTGCTCAAGAACAGCAAGCCAATGCCCAGCTGACCATTCAAAGGGCCGGCAAGTTGGAGCAGTGCGATACCGTCCGATCCCCGAAACCTAGAGATCAAATTATTTTCCATTCGAAAGCTTCACTAGATAGCTACGCCGAAGCCACAGGAATTTTGATAGGCATGGAAAGCCAAGCCCAGCAAGCTGAATCGACTTTCCGGGCTCAAAACCGCGCAAAAAGCGTCGAGAAGTTCAAGGAGGTCGAGGGCGATGAGTTCGAGATCCTCAGCGAGTACATCGGCGTCTACCGGGACCTTGAGGCCGAGACGAGACTCAAAGGAAGCCTGAATCTATCCCACATTTTCCAAGCTCACCAAGCCACCGAAGAGACGGCTACCGTAACCTGTGAGAAGGCGCGTTACGTAGCCCCCGCCGACGTCGAGAAGACGTTCAAATCGCCATCTGAACTCCTCCAACACGTCGTCGCCCATTTCTCAGTTGAATTTGCTGGCATTTTAGTTGATCTTGGTTCCCCTCAATCTGCACCGTCACAAGACACCACTTGCACCCTAAAAGCCGCCAATTTTGAAGCCGGCCAAGCCCGACTTCGCGAGTCGAGCGAGACCCAACTTCGCGCCCTAGTCAATTTGCATAAAATCGAAATCTCCCGCCCCAGCCAGCGACACGAAGCCGTTTTCCCGGAGATTACCCGAATTTCAGAGGAGCTGCGAATCGCCGGGCCGGACGCCTCGACGACGGCGGTTGTTCATCTACAGAAAACACCTGAAGATGAAGCTGCTCATCGTGAAGCTAAGGCTTCAAACTACGCATCACCCATCAAGATCAAGCTCCCCGAAGCTGGCGACGAAAAAACCAAGCTCAGCGTCGAACTGTTCAGCGGAAAATCGGGAGTGGCTGAAGCTGCTTCGTTTGCTTGGCCAATTCCAAGCCTTCTCCAGACAAAACCCGTCGAGTTCGAGGAGTTCGGTGATGAGGAAGCCACCATCTTTGCTCAACTGCAAAGCCGGGCCCCCGACTTCAAGGAGGCTGAGATCGAGATCACGATCCCACGACTTGGGGAAGCTCAAGCCCTGACCAAGCCGGCTTCAAAAACCGAAGTCTTGGTCCAGAACGACCGATTTGAAGTCCCGGAACCCCGAGAAGATGTACAGATAGTTCGAATCATTGGAAATCCGGGCGTGAACCTTTCCGTCAAGTTCAAGGAGTCCGAGCAGCACCAAGTCACTCTGGGGCAGAGCTTCAATCTCCCCGCCCAAGCCCACATTCACCATATCACTGTGAAGGACAAGGGCTACGGCGGGGCGTACAACCTGTCGAAGAAGGCGGCCGGCGACGAACACCGACAACTTCAACAAGTTTTGGTAAAAACCGGGGCTCTGGAAAGCGTCCGTCATCGACAGGTGCAAAAGTTCAGGCTGAAGCTGGAGCTGCGAGTACAGGAGGCTACAACCGTCCGGGTGGATACGGTAGAAAATTTCCAGAAGCCCGAGTCGAGGGCCACGTTCGAGTCGTCGCGACGCTGTGCGCAAAGCTGCGCGCCCATCTCCGCCAAATTCCGCGAGTTGAGCGAGGTCAGCGCTTCTTTATACTGTTGCTACGCTCGGCCCGACGATTTCAAGGAGGTCAGGAAAATTGTGGCGATTCCGCTGGTTTCCTCGGGACAAAAATTGAAAACCGATGCGGCAGAAGATGTTCAAACTACCGTATCCCCAAGCCTACAAAAATATGATCAATTTGAAGTACGAGAGGTTACGGTACTCCACGCAAACACCACCCCTCCAATTTCCCTATCCACTAAACCGTGCTCCACCGAAACTACCGTAACCCCGGTGCACCTTTTGCGTCCCGAAGCACTCGCACCGACCCTCGGCCTAACCCGCACGATCCCTAACACGGCGGCCCCTGTACGCCTCCAAGTCCGCGAGCCCACCGTAGTTGCCCAAACGACTGTGGCCCACTATAAGGGGGCCGAGGCTACGCTTGACAACTCGATTACGCTACCGTTATCTGTATTCGGGGGTAACTATCGTAGGAAAATGGAGGCGGCTGAGCATCACCAGGTTACGGTAGTTCGGGAGCTCGACTCCGCGAAGCCGCTGTGCCTCCACATCTGCCAGGAGCCCATTAGGAAAATTGCGGGGCCCCGGGTTTCCTTTAACACGCCGGCTTCTACGAATTTAATCATAGCTATCACTACGGAGTTCCGAATCCCGGAGCCGCGGGTGAACTCGGCGATGACGTGGGCTGATAAGAATCGGGATCTAGCCGAAAAGAAACTTTTTGAAGCCGGAGATGCACACGAGATCGTGAACCCCATCTACAGCCGTGAAAATGAAAATTTCGTTTCAGAAAAAACATGGGAAATCCCGCGGAGCGGAGGAGCGACGGAGCGACGACTGCGAGCAGTTCAAGAGCGGAAGGTTGATGTCAACTTCAATTTGGAGAAGCAGAGGGTGACGAGGAGTGAGGCGGAGATGAGGAAGATTATCCCGAACAAGGCGAACTCGTTGGACTTCAACGGGTCGGCTAGTGGAAGTGCGGTGGCGGTTGTTTACCAACAGCTGGCCAAATCGTCGGAGCTTGAGCATCACCGGAAGGTGCTCAGGGCCAAGAACAAGGGCTTCAGCCAGGAAATGAGGTGCCGCGAGTCGAAGAGCTGGACGGTCACCACGAACATTAACTTGTTGAAGCGCGAGTCGAAGGAGTGGGCCCAGGAGAAGATCATCTACGAGCCAAAGTTTGGCGGGAAATACGGGCATAGGACGATTGCCACGTCATCCAAGGAGGTGACCATCGCCGTCGACACGTGCAAGCAAAAACCGCTAGCGCTGGACGCCGACTTGAAGAAGGTCGTCCCGAACAAGACCGAGCCGGTCAAGTTCAGCACCAGCGAGTCGACGCAGAGAGAGCTGGATCATTTTACTGTGTTGCAGAAAAATGATGAGAAGTACGACGAGGCGATGGTGATCCAAGATCGCAACAAGGCCAACATGGTCAGTTTGAGGGCCCGAGAGTCCAGCCAGCTGAACGAGACGACAACGTGGGCCTACCAGAAGGAGACCGACCAGGACGCGCTTGATCGTACCTTCGAGGAGAAGCGCTTCGGCGGGTCGGTCTTGTTGCGGACGTCGTCTGCTACAGATTTGAGCTCGAGAACTGAAGTTGATCTAGCTGCGCAGAGACTTGCTCGTGTTGACGTCGAGAATTTGACCATCTGCAAGAACAAGGCCGAGTCGGTCAAGCTGAACGCCTATGCGTCGTCGGCAAAGGAAATCGAGACGACTTTCATCTCCGATCGACCAGTAGTAGCTGAACTTGCCCAAAAAATTGTTGTAGATAAGAATAGAGCAAACCCCGTCAGTTTCCGGTCGATCGAAGCCGGAGAAGTTCAAGAGAACCTGATCATCCAATTCCAACGCCAGCACCAAAAAATCGACACCGATGTGCTCGTGTACTCGCCGAACTTGGGCGCACCGCAACATTTGAGGACTCAGCGAAGTACAGCCAAGTCAGTAGATGCTCAAGTGCAGCTTGAACGCGCCGAACCCCGTGACCTTTCCACAATAATCTCTGTCCGCACGCCTAACACGGCACCCGCACAAAGTTTGGCTTGTTCATGTGCGACAACCGCCACCACGTCCACCTCGGTCGATCTGTGTAGGGCCCAAAATCGCGAGAGTTCATCTACCGTAATCGTAGCCGCCAATCGTGCGCAAGGGGTTCAAAAGCACGTGGCCGAGGCGACCAGCCTCGTATGCGCCGTCAACCTCACCTACGAGCGCGAGCAGTTCAACGCCCAATTTTCAGCTACGCGCCCCGATTCGAACTATGGTGGAAGAGCAACACTCGCGGCGTCAGCGAGCAGGGCTATTGCGGTAGATGTTCAGTGTGAAGTCGAGAAGACCAGGATCAAGGAGGATGCCGCCGAGCTGAAGCTGATCATCGCCAATCGGGCAAACCCGGTGGAGAAGTACGCCTCGGCGAGCCAGGACAACGTCACCGGCGCGTCGTGCCAGCTGCAGAGGACCAACGAGCACGAGACGACCAGCAGGAAGTTCATTGCCAAACGCCTTGGCGAGCCTGTCGCCAAGAACTTGCTGGAGTCAACGAGCTTGGAGGTGGTGACCAACACGCAATATAAACGAGAAGAAGCTCATGAAGACCGTGAAATTACGGTTAAAATCCCGCAAACGGGCGGTAGTTTACGACTCGACACCAAGAAGGCCGAGGACAAATCCGTTGAACTGCTCCAAGACTACGGCCGACCCGAGGCCAGGGAGGAGGTGACCATCTCCAAGGTGACGCAGAATAAGGCTCAACCGGTCAGCTTCAGGTCGAAGGGATCTTCGGATAAATCGACCGAATCTGATTACCAGCTCACCAACCCCAGGTTGGCCGAGTTCAGCACCGGCACCACGGTGGTGGACAAAAATCGAGCCCAGCCTGTTCACCTACGGGTCAGCGAGTCGAAGGAGGCGGATGTATCGACCAGCTTCAACTTGTTTTGCAATAAAATCGGAGCTGACGAGGCCGAGCAGGTCAGACCATATCCCAGAGATGGGGGAGCTGAGCGGATATTCTGTAAAGCTGCCGGAGAAGAACGACCTGATGAAGTCACCCGACTCTTTGAGCGTCAGCCCCAGGCTGGAGATGCTCAGAAGCTGCTCAACACCAGCAGGGATGAGAAGGTCAGCTTCAGATCGGAATCTGCACGAGATCTACAAGTGTCGGTAGATGTGGAAATTGCGTCTGAGCGCGCAGCAAAGCTTGAGAATCGCCATCAGGTTGTTGAGATTGTGAAGGAAATCGGCAACTTCGACAAGGTCAGCCACGGCTCAAAACAAGCTGAAGAAAAGGAAGTCTCGATCATTCAGGAAATCAGAAATTCCAAGCTTGACCACAACCCACTTGATCTCGACGTCGCGAAGTCGTTCGACCTGCCGACGATCGAGCGTGAGACTCTAGGCTGTAGATATTCAGAGGAGTCGCACTACTCGATCGGCTGCGACTTCAACAAGCAGACGACCAGCTACAACGTGACGATCTCATCCGAAGTGGCCATCATCGGCGAGCCGGTCGGCGTTCGGTGCGAGGCGAGCAAGGAGTGCGACTTCACCCTCGACCTCGACATCAGGAAGGGCGGCTCGGCCGAATGGCCCGATGCCCCAACTACCGCCTTCCGAGCCCTGTCTGCCGAAGAAGAAGCCGCGATGCGGGCGAGGCGATCTGGGGAGGAGATGTTCAACCTCGCCCTGGATATCAACCACCAGACGACGGAGATGAGAACCGCACGCCTTGAAGAGGTCGCTGGAACGGGTACCCCGGCCGGATTCGGAGCTCGACGATCTCAAGAAGTTCACTTCCATATGGGAATCGAGTTGCAGAATCAGGGAACGCAGTTCAGATCGCGCTGCGAGATGGCGGAGTACCTGATGGCCGAGACTGAACGGCTCCAATTCGCCGCCAAGGCGGTGGATGAGCGGGAGCTGGCGAGACGGCGGGAGGAGGAGAAGGAGGCCGAGCGGTTGCGGCATGAGGAGATGCTCAAGGAGCGTGAGCGGGCCAGGCAGGAGGAGATCGAAGCGCTGGGTAGAGATTTTTAGCTTGATTTTTAAAAAATACGGCACTAAGGTAATTTTACGAGTTTTAGGCGGTTTGAAAGCGGCCTGGAAGTGTGAAAAATCTGATTTTTGGTTTTATGGATTTTTCGA